TGCTGTTTTGCTGTGGCGAGGGCGCCGTTTGTGAGCCTTGACGGCTGGAAGAGAGCTAGTTTTCTTGTAGGTTCAGAAAGCAACGTTAGGCACTGGGAGCCGTTGCCCGGAGGCTCGGTCCGTCCTTCAGGGCCCTGCTGTTTTGCGGTGGCGGAGGCGCCGTTTGTGAGCCTTGACGGCTGGAAGAGAGCTAGTTTGGGAGCCGTTGCCCGGAGGCTCGGTCCGTCCTTCAGGGCCCTGCTGTTTTGCTGTGGCGAGGGCGCCGTTTGTGAGCCTGGACGGCTGGAAGAGAGCTAGTTTTCTTGTAGGTTCAGAAAGCAACGTTAGGCAGTGGGAGCCGTTGCCCGGAGGCTCGGTCCGTCCTTCAGGGCCCTGCTGTTTTGGCGTGGCGGAGGCGCCGTTTGTGAGCCTTGACGGCTGGAAGAGAGCTAGTTTTTCATTGGAGGTTCAGAAAGCAACTTAGTCAGTGGGAGCCTTGCACACCGGAGGCCTCGGTCCGTCTTCAGGCCCTTGCTGTTTTTGCTGTGGCGGAGGCGCCGTTTGTGAGCCTTGACGGCTGGAAGAGAGCTAGTTTGGGAGCCGTTGCCCGGAGGCTCGGTCCGTCCTTCAGGGCCCTGCTGTTTTGCTGTGGCGAGGGCGCCGTTTGTGAGCCTTGACGGCTGGAAGAGAGCTAGTTTTCTTGTAGGTTCAGAAAGCAACGTTAGTAACGTTAAGCAGTGGGAGCCGTTGCCCGGAGGCTCGGTCCGTCCTTCAGGGCCCTGCTGTTTTGCTGTGGCGAGGGCGCCGTTTGTGAGCCTTGACGGCTGGAAGAGAGCTAGTTTTCTTGTAGGTTCAGAAAGCAACGTTAGGCAGTGGGAGCCGTTGCCCGGAGGCTCGGTCCGTCCTTCAGGGCCCTGCTGTTTTGCTCAATGGGAGATATGCCCAGGGGTCGGCGGCAGGGGGCGGAGCCCTTTAATATTTGATAGTCTATACACGCGCTATATATGTATTATATGTATATACGTATTTAAATACATATGTATATGGTATTGTGTATTTTTATATGTATATGTATCATATTTATATATAATGTATCTATTATATATTATACAGTAGCTAAAAAATTACATGTAGTATTTAATATATGTATTATCAAAGGAAGTTTTGAAGGTCTAACTTCCGTGTTACGGATTGCAATGGGTGTGCAATGGCTGTCATAGAGCAATGGATGTCATAAAGCAATGGATGTCATAGAGCAGTGGATGTCATAAAGCAATGAATGCCACAAAGCAATGGATGTCACAAAGCAATGGATGTCACAAAGGAATGGATGTCACAAAGCAATGGATGTCACAAAGCAATGGATGTCACAAAGGAATGGATGTCACAAAGCAATGGATGTCACAGAGCAATGGATGCCACAGAGCAATGGATGTCACAAAGCAATGGGTGTCACAAAGCAAGGGGCGTCACGAAGCCATGGATGTCACAGAGCAATGGACGTCACAAAGACATGAACGTCACAAGAGCAATGAACGTTACAAAAGCTATAAACGTCACACGTGCAATGAACGTCACAAGAGCAACGAATGTCACGCAACAATGGATGTCACAGAGCAATGGATGTCACAGAGCAGCGGATGTCACAGAACATTGGATGTCACAGAACAGTGGGTATCACAGGGCAACCGCTGTCACAGACCAAGGGGAGTCTCGCACGAAAGCTTCGTTTTCGCATCTTGCACTTTCACTTTTTGAGGGAAGCCTCGCACAAAAGCTTCGTTTTCACAGCTTCCACTCTCAGATTTTGAGGGAGGCGGTCTCGCAAGAAAGCTTCGTTTACACATCTTCCACTTTCACTTTTTGAGGGAAGTCTCGCACGACACGCGTTTTTGAGAGATAGCAGATGCACGAAATGCTGCGTTTTGCAGGATAAAACGTGTCCCGGAAGAAGGATGGGGAAGCTTGTCCGGCGGATGGGTGCGAGACGGGCTCTGCTATGTTCGGATCATGGTCGGATTGGCCCCCTTATTGGAACTGCGAGTTCAGGCTTCATTTTCAAACTTTGAAGTTTCAAATTTTGAAGGATGTGTCGCACGAAAGCTTCGTTTTCACATCTTCCACTTTCAGATTTTGAGGGAAGTCTCGTATGAAAGCTTCGTTTGCACATCTCCCACTTTCGCTTTTTTAGGGAAGTCTCGCACCACAGCTTCGTTTTCACATCTTCCACTTTCACTTTTTTGAGGGCAGTCTCGCATGAAATGCGTTTTGGAGCTGCAATTTCTGACGCCGTTGCGCGTAGTAGTTCTATTGTGCTTTGCAACTCAGTCTTTGCAGGTCGCATTGTGATAGCAAAGTGTCTTTTGCAGCTAGACATCGTAAAGCGTATTGGAGTGGCTGCATCAAGGCTGCGATAGTGATTTGTTAGCGGGTTTTCTCAATTTAAAAACTTGCTGTGTGTAAAATCTTCTCTGTGTAAATGCTTCTCCGTGTAAAAGCTTCTCTGTGTAAATGCTTCTCTGCGTAAAAGCTTGCTGTGTGTAAAGGCTTCTGTGTGTAAAAGCTCCTCTGTGTAAATCCTTCTCTGTGTTAGGGCTTCTCTGTGTGAAAGCTTGCTGTGTGTAAAAGCTTCTGTGCGCAAAAGTTTTTCTGCGTAAAAGCTTCTCTGTGTAAAAGTTTGCTGTGTGTGTGTGAAAGCTTCTGTGTGTAAAAGCTTCTCTTGTGTAATGGCTTCTCTGTGTAAAAGCTTCTGTGTGTAAAAGCTTCTCTGTGTAAGGGCTTCTCTGTGTGAAAGCTTCTGTGTGTAAAAGCTTCTCTGTGTAAGGGCTTCTCTGCGTAAAAGCTGGCTGTGTGTAAAAGCGTGCTGTGTGTAAAAGCTTCTGTGCGTAAAAGCTTCTCTGTGTAATGGTTTCTCTGTGTAAAAGCTTCTGTGTGTAAAAGCTTCTCTTGTGTAAGGGCTTCTCTGTGTGAAAGCTTGCTGTGTACAAAAGCTTCTCTTGTGTAAGGGCTTCTCTGTGTGAAAGCTCGCCTGCGTAAAAGCTGGCTGTGTGTGAAAGCTTGCTGTGCGCAAAAGCTTCTGTGTGTAAAATCTTCTCTGTGTGAAAGCGTCTCTGTATAAGAGCTTGCTCTGTGTAAAAGCTGGCCGTGTGTAAAGTTTACTGTGTGTAAAAGCTTCTGTGTGCAAAGGATTCTCTGTGTGAAAGCTTGCTGTGTGTAAAAGCTTCGCTGTGTAAATAGCCTTTCTGTGTAGGAGCTTCTTTGCGTGAAGGCTTGCTGTGTGCATCCCAATGCACCCACGGTTCAGAGACCGCGCTAACAACTACTCTGAACTTTTCGTGTCGTCTGCATGGAAAAAGCTGCTGCGGTGTCTTGTTGGGTTTGGGAAAGCGACTGAATGGCAAGTGTAAGAAAACTGATGAGAGGTCAGATGTTTTGACATGAGATAAACAACCATGAAATACCACAAGAGAGCAAGTTGATTTTGATGATTTTGCAGAAAATGAAATGACATCAAATGAGCTGAGATAAGACGACATAAGCTGCGAAGAGCTGAGATGAGGTGAAAAACTCAAAAGACATGAGATGAGTTGAGATGAGATGGGATGACACAGACTGCGGTGACAGTGGGATGCAGTGAGCAATTTCCAAGAGAAGCTGCGACGCAATGAGATCAGATGAAATGAGACAAGATTCAACATGTCAAGAGCCTGTTGCCACGAAGCACAGGAGGCTTGCCTGTCACCTATAGGCGCAGCCTTTGCTCCGCTCTATAGGCTATAAGCATTTCAAATTTGAAACTTCCGCCCCCGGCTTGCCCAGGTACTACTTGTATATTACATTCTATTTTATCATATTATATTATATCTTATTATATTATATTATATCACATCTGATATTATTTTATATTATAATTATATATATTATTATTATATATATATATGTTTGTATTTGTATGTATTATATCTAATTATGTATCACATATATTATCTGTATTATATATATATATATATTATGATATGTATATATATATGGCATACGGTTGCCACATTTAAACTCAATGCTTGTCTATGCGCATATCATATCATATCTTATCATATCTTTCTTATGCTGTACAAACCAAAGTATTTATCTTCAATACATGTTCAATCCACAGCGGAAGATGCCAAGGCCCCAGGCTAACAAAAGGGCTGAAGCCTGATGCGACGACACGCGGCTCTTGGATCATCTCCAGCCTCACAGCTTCAGTGGAGATCACCTTGCAGGACCTTTCGGTTCAGTTTGGTTCAGTTCAGTTTGCATTTCAAGTTAAAGCAGACTTGTCGACAGACTTATCAACGTCTGTAGTCTGTCCATGTCTGTCCACTTCACCGTGGTCACTTCCCCTTACTCCCAGCCTGTGCTCAGCATTGAGGCGCAGGACCACCTGCAATGTCTGCTGCGCTGGGTGGCGTGTGGCACTCAGTTTGACTCGACTGTGAGTTTAATCTCGTAATCGCCAGACTCGCTAGTTCCACGAACCGAAGCACGGAAATTTTCTGAGGATTGATGGGGGCGAGCCTTGCGGGTGGGGGCAATAATTGTAACCAGTGGTACCCACTAACTACGTTGAGCCGAGCTCTTCCAGAAAGGGTCTTTCAATATGCGTTTCAGAAAATGACTTGAACAAAAGATCCACAGACAGATGATATGTCCACCTGCTTCGTTAGTTGTTCAGCGCCACTATGATATGTGTAGGCGAAGGCCTCGTTTTCTGACCCAACTTAAGCATGGAAAGATGTGGAAACACGTAGAAGCTCTTGAAAGGACAGCGACTCGCTTTCTGACATGTGTTATGCAGAACAAAAGTGTAATAAAAGAAAACTACCCGTCTCCACATACATCAACTGATTCAATTGTCTGCGAAAGGTCGCTTGTAAAGGGGATGCAAGGAGACAAGGGTAACATCGGAGGTTGAACAAACATGAACAAAAGACACTAGAGCCACACATCAACATTGTAATGTCTTGCTCTCAGGTCACAGCCCCATCTCCAAGGCCAGCTACAGATCGTGCCCAGATCTGCTCTTTCTGAGGCCTGAGATCTGGGCTTGGACCATGGACGCTGCCAACAGAATCTCCGCTATGGTTTGCCTTCACTATCAGTATTATCAGTCACTATCACATCTATCACTCTTAACTTCACTTGGCATCGAGATATTTCTACAGCCTTTGGACTTCGACGTGGCATGAGTGGCCCCCGTCATGGTGTCCCCAGATGTCCCCAGATGTCCCCAGATGTCCCGCAGGTTCCAGGCTCCAAAGAAAGCGACTTGGTGGTGAAGACCAGCTCCGAACCCCAGAGCTCGGCCTTAGTAGAGTACACTCCAGTTTGGTCGGCCAGGGCTTGTGGCACCTCTTTGTGTCCCTGTCTAAGGCCAACACCAGAGAGACACTGGCCTCACGTGACCTTTCACCAAAAAGAAGCATGTGAATGGAAACAAAAAGCCCCAGTGGATGGAGAATCTTAGAAGATTTAAAACGTATCGCAAAAGTCCAAGGGCCCAAGGGATCTCTTGATACAACGAAGAGTGACAGCCTTTGTGCTGGTTGCACGGTGAGCGCAATCGAGGGAAAAAGTCATAGAAAGCAAGTGATAGGTGAAACAACTTCACTGAGAGAATCAGGAAGTTTAGATTGAGCGCTGAAACGACAAAAGTATATATAGTATTATATAGTATATATAGTGTATATATTACATATATATATATATATACAATAGTGAGGTTGAAGAAGCAAAGAATATATAAGAGGAAACAGTTTCAGCCCTTGAACATCTGAACCACCTGAGTTCGAAACGGAGACTTGTCGTCTACCTTCTCCATGTTCTGACTTCGGCCCTGTCTGTATGCAATCGCAAAAAGCTTGGACCTTGGCCCGGTTCTCATCCGATTCCTATCCAGGCTTCTGCGACCAAATGCAAAGACTTTAAGGGTCAACAGATTTTCTGCATCTGCTTCTTGATGTCTACCACATATGAACAATAATTCCGCCGGAGACATGTTCTGAGGTGTGGACGAAAGAGGTGCTGCGCTAATGCGGGAGACTGCACCCTGTGCGAAATGATACTTTCCAAGCACTCGCGGCACCTCAGGTGCGCAAGGTTGCAAAGAAAGAGTCGCTCCGCATCCTCGAATCTCCTGTGTACATTGAAGATCTACGAACTGTAGCTGGCTGCTCAAATTTCGAAACGGAAATCCATTTGTTACAGCAGTAGTTGGTGTCCTCGATCTGAAAAAAAAGAAACGCATTGCTCTCAAGATCGCGATCAAAACATTGTGTGAAGGAACAGCGGCTCGACTGAGATCTGTGTGCTTCAAAAAGAGGCAGCTATGATCAAAGCAACGGGACATAGCTCTGCCAGGTCTCAGGCCATCTGCCCACCCAGTCTCCTTAGTGATTTGGGCGCCAAGCACAACTATGGCAAGTATCGAAAAATATCGAAAGATATCCTAAATTTCTCTTGCAAAAACATTCCAAACGAATACTCACCCGGTGCAAACGGGAGTCTCATCTGGCAAGATATCTGCAAGAAGGGACGTGCCAAAGTGCTCCTTAAATGCCGTCAGATCGATACAAGTTTGCCACCAAGTAAAAGGAAGGTGCATCTGCAGCATCCACTTTGTGTAGAGGTCTGGCTCGAAAGAGAACAACAAGTCCAAGTCCCCACACCCATTTTCCAGGAGCAACCTGCAGTGAAGAATCAGCTTCACTGTGGGTTTCATCAGAGATTCTGTTTGATTGTGGTTGGTTGCTTTATTGTTGGCACTGACAGGCAAGTGTAGGCCTTGTTTGGTTGATGTTCAGCGAACAGGACCACTACCCTGGACTGCGGCCTTGGTCAAGTTCCCGCAGGTTTTTAAAAAACTGAAAATTTCAGATGCAAACAGCGCAAGCGGAATGTTACGGGGTTGAGAGCCGAGCAGGGCAATAAGGGACATGCTCTGCGCCTGCGAAGTGATGAATGAAGCTACTCTGCAGCATGATTGCCACCAGGTCACAATTGATCGACTTGCAGTCCCAGGCCCAAGCTCTGCAGCATGGCGAGTCTTGATTTCCATCCAATCCCAACATTGCAGGATCCCTTGTGGAAGCAGGCTGCGACGCGAACTCATAGCAGTTTTTCCGGTGCAAAGCGTAGCTGCATATGGCATTGATAGAAAAATGGTCACAGCAAGATGGATCAGGTGCATGGTCAAAATCTGCCATGGGATCGAAGGCTGTGGGTCAAAACTGTGCCTCACATGCCAATTGTCATACCAACCATTCCAAGCTATGCACACGCTTTCTCACTCGGTTCTCCTTCTTTATTAGCTTGGGAACGGCACACCGTCACCCAAATGCCAACACCTGTTCCAAAAAGTGCATGGGGATTCTGCAGCTTGTCATACTCTGTACCTTCTTCCACGACCCTCCATTCAGATTTCCCGAGCTAGGTAAGGAAAGGTTGGTGAGTTTTCACCCAACGCACTGCCTACCAGCAGACTCTCACCGCATCAACCAGAGATCTTCTTCTTCGCCTTCTGCTTCTGTTTCACAAACTCCTTGTTGAAGGTCACACTCCAGCGGCAGCTAGAATCTTATGCACATGCTCAGCGCTCATGTCCTTCGTTCCGCAGTCCACGAAGAGATTCTCAGTAGAGGTCCATTTCAGCATCGTATTCGGTTTGCTGAGGACGCCACGGATCCAAGCCACCATGAATGCCAGAGATCTCTGAGATCCAAAGGAAGGGGTGTTTGAAGAGCCCTTGTCATAGTCACGAGCATCTGTGACTATAGAGCCAGCGGGATGCAGTCCATGACTTCTTCGGCTCGTTTGTGCTCAATGGGAAGTCCTTGCAACACAGCCCACCAGCCACGACAGAAACATCCAACATCGAATGCCTCTTTTGCTCCAAGCAATTCCGCTCCATACGTCGGGCGACATACGCGAGGAAGTCGATGGCTTCTAGCATCGAGCACAGAAAAGTTTCCTTCCTTCCCAGCCAAAAGGTCCCTATCCGCAAGGAGGACGTAGTAGGCACTCTGACTGAAAACTTTCTCCAGCACTGTTCCATCAGCTCCGCCAGCTTTGGTGACGTTTCCCAATCTGGCATCAGTCACCACCATGACTCCGGCACCTTTCAATTCCATAGGTTTGAAGGTCGAAGCAAAGTCTGGATCCTGCTTGAATCGTTTGACCAAAAGGTTTGCCTCCATCAAAGTGCTGATCTTCGGAGGCTCTCCTTGCAGTGTGCTAAGCTGGAAACCCAAATCAAAGCGAAGTTGTGCAACAAGCCATTGCAATGAACCAAGGATGGCACGAAGTTGACGTCGCTCCATCTCTGTCAGGTCAGAGTCAGGATGGGCTCTTCGATGAACTGGAATCGTCACTGTCTTCAAACTGCTGTGGTACTCTTCCATGGTAATAGTGATGTGCCCATCATCATGTTGACGGATGCGCTTGCCACAGTAGGTGATGTCTTTCTCAGACGTGCTGCCAAATTCAAGTTCTTCTCCAAATTCCTTGAGTTTCTTTGCTGCACGACGATTGCCACCCAGCAACAAATCATCAACGTGGGACATGATCACACCATCCAGTCTTGTTCGGTCTTCTGACCGAAGCAACCAACAAGCAAAATCAAGAGAAGTTCTTTCCCAACCTTGTGCCAGCAGGGACTTATTGAGGCGCAGATACCAACCTCTCGGAGCATCACTGAAACCAAAAACTCCTTTGCGGATTCGAGCAAGACCTGGAAAAGGAAGACGAGGTTCACCTAAGGCTCCTCTGATGTTCTCCATGAAAGGCTCCCTTGTTCCTTCCAGGTAAGCATCTCCCTTCATGAATGCGGACTTGATGTCTGCCGAAAGCAGTGTCCAAGCAAGGTCAGCGCCAACCACAAACACATTGAAACAGGCCGTCAAGGTCAAAGGGACATGTTGAGCAAGCCTCGACCACGTGGGAGCATCTTTACGAAGCCCACAAGAAAAGATGTCCTTAAATCCAGGGACAACAATGCGTGCCCGTGCACGTAGAGGCAGCTTGTTCTACTCAGTCCCTTCGTGTTTGTCAGTGAACGTATAGCGAGGAATGAGGATCTTTCCTTGTTGCCCTTCTCTCTTCAGCCTCTCACGAATACGTTGGGACTCTTCTAGGGAAAGCTCCTCGACTGCATCGTTTTCTTTCCACACACTCCAAGCTTGTTCGGCAGCAATTTTGAATTCAGTCTCAGCATCATTCATACAGCGCCAGTGGAAGTCCTTGCGGTTTGCCTGAACTGCCAAAACATCATTCTCAACCAGATCATCATGCCCACAAGGCCAGGGAAGTCCAAGCCGTTGGTGAGCAAGCCATTCAGTTCTCGAAGCGAAAGGCCATCTGCCGTCCCAGGAACCATGATCCTTCATGCGAACCTCAGTAGGATTGAGCCGGTCTTGGTAGGCAACATTGTAGATGTGTTGCAATGAGTGCAGTGTTGGTTCACCCAAACTAGATAAAACGTCTTCTCGAGCTGTTTGCATCACTTCACCCGCAGGTTCAGCTGAAGAAGTCGCTGGAATCACTGGAGGTTCATCAGGTTGAGGTAAAGGAGGCTCAGAGGCTTCAGCCTGCAGTCTTTCCAGGGATCAGCCGTATCAGCGGCTCTTTTGGTTCCAGCAGGGTCTGCCAAACGCTGACGTTGTGCCTTTTCCATGGTGCGTTGCAATTGTCCTGCAAAGCTAGAGGCTCGCTTTCGAAGTCCATCGCCGAGCCCACCTGAAAGCCCACCTGAAAGTCCACCTGAAAGTCCACCAGAGTGACTCGTTCAAAGGTTGCCTCGCTCAACCTCTTGAAGGCACGGTTGAAACAGGTGCTGAAGCAGGCATCAAAGCACCAGCTAGCTCTTGAGCCCGCACGGGAGGCAAATCATTTCCGACAGGAAGCACCTGTTCTGGAACTGCAGCTGCGGCAGAGGAAGGCCCGAAAGCAGGAGTGCCAGGCACAGGAATCTCAGCCGCAGGTGGTTGTTCTGCAGCTGCTTCACCGCCATCGGCCAAAGGAAGCCCACGGGCCGCTAAGTCCAAGGCGGCTGCCTCCACGGCTTCTTCAATGGCTTCACGCCAAGAGTCAGCGGCAATCTGCTCCATGGTACTAGCCACTCTGATATGTTCCAGAGCGCACTTGCCCCTTGTAGCTCAAATAGCCAGAGCTTCTTCCTTCCACTGCTAAGAGAAGTGCACGGCCATGCCAACGCTTCAAGCGCTGTGCAATCAGCATTTCTTTTGACACGGAGTGGGCGTCTTCAAGCGCATTGACAAAGGCCTGGGACAAGGGCCGCAAGGTTGTGGTGAGCACTTCATGACCCTCATCGATTTCATCATCAACATGCTCTCTCAACCACCTTGACATGCTTGCCGCCCGACTTCTCCAGGGCAGTCTTTCGTGCAAGGCCTTGTCCAGGTTTGCCACAGTCAGGATCACCTGCCCAATGCGCAATCAAAACAAGGATTCGTCGCAGTCTTCTTTGAGGTGGCCTTTGAAGGCCCATCAGAAGGCTTCATGTAGCCTCGGTCTCGCTTCACGTCCTGCAGCTTCGTTCTGGCCTCCTTCATGGTCAGGAGCGCTTCAGCTGCAGTTTCAACTGGTTCCTCAATCTCCTGTAGAGTTGAAACATCGAGGGCTTCGGCCTCGTTCTTGAGGATATCCTCCAAGCTCGGCTCAACATCTTTCTCGCCGTCCATCAGTTCAACCTCATCATCCGGCTCTGGCTCTTCAGCCTCCGAAACCATGGCCTGTCTGGCCGCAAAAGGTTTAGGAAATCTACCAAACCTGCTAGATGAACCAGAAGTTGTGGAAGTCCTGTGGGACCTAGGTGCAGAGCTGGCCATAGAGGGTGCATAGGATGAAGGCTTGCTCGAAGGACTCTGCGAAGTCAAAAACCTCTGCATCAAACAACCACCTTTGCTACCGCTATCTCCAAAAGACCTGCGAACCAACGGATCCTGTGAATGTAGATCCTTGAAAAGTCTCAACACCTCACACTCAATGGTCTCGCAGTCTTCTGCCCCTTGCAAGGCAGTGTCAAACAATTGAACTCGCAGCGAATCAAGACCAGGCTTTGTCTTGAAAAACCATCCAACTTCTCCAGAAGGTTAAAGTCACTCCTTCTGTTCTCAGGTCATCCAGAGAAACACGAAACCTGGAGCAAAACTCAGGTATGCGTTCGCCTGGTTTCCTCTTCAACTCCCGTTCACCTGGTTTCCTCTTCAGCTCCCGAGAAAAACGAGTTTCTCAGTTCCACACGTTTGTCAAGTGTCGTTTTGCCATTTATGCTTTCCAACGTTTCCGACAACTTGTTCAAGCCGCTCAGCGGGTCCTCGGGCACAATGACAACTTGTTCACCAGTTTGTGGGTCAGGCGCTTTGGTCTCATGTTGATATTCCAGCTCTTCTGGGTTGAACTCTTCACCTCTTTGGCGAACTACGCCTGACTGTCTCAGCAACCATCGGGCCGCTAGGTTGAATTTCTCTGTCGCATCTAAGTCAAGGCAGCTAGTCCACCATTTCATCTCTGAAATGCCCTCCAAATTTGAGGAGAACCATCCCAGACTGGGACACAGCTCCAAGCACCACCGTTCTGGTCCTTCTCATTGTCCCCCATGACTTCTCCCTTCAGGAGATGAAAGGGACAAAAGCAAAAATGTTGAATTCAGTCTCACCCACAGCAAACACTGATCACGCGTGCAACCAGTGAAGTTTTAGGTGATCAGGACAACACCCTAGTACTTTGAAAACGTCACCAGCAAAACCGCAAGGATCACCGGCCAAGTGGTCAAAAACCTGGGACTGGTCCAACGTGCAAAGAACCGAAGTCGCGCGGCCAAAGCAAAAGCAAAGCTGGATCTTCAAGCTCCGGTGCCACTGTGGAAGCAAGCTGTGACGCGAACTCAGCTTTTCCATCCAGTGCAAAGTGTAGCTGCATATGGCTTTAGGCCTAATAGAAAAGCATTGATAGAAAAATGGCCACAGCAAGATGCATCAGGTGCATGGTCAAAATAGGACATGGCATTGAAGGCTGTGGGTCGAAACTGTGCCTCAGTTGCCAATTATTGTCATGCCAACCGTTCCAAGCTATGCACATGCTTTCTCAGCCTTTAATCTCCTGTCAACACCCAGATATGTCCGTCTGCATTCCAGGGGGTTCCGTCCAATCACAGGTCCATGGCCTGGTAGTGTGTGAAAACGCGCGGAGGTCCAAGCTGGATTCTGTTCTCCGCATCTCGCCTGTGAGACTGGAGATGAGTGAGATGGGTATAAGTGGATCTGAGTGTTTACCCATATCGCAGCACGGTAGATCTATTAGACTACCGCGTGAGATGCTGCTCCAGCTTTGGAAATTGCAACCATAGGACATGCTGATACATGCTGGAACTGCCAAAAATCCAACGTCAGATGTGGGTACCATATGCCCTGAACATTTGCAGAATCGCCATGCTTTTGCTATCATGAACTGGCACTCCATCGCGATTCAATCCGTCCGCACAAAACCACTCCAGCTGGAACAGCCCCCAGACTATTGCAGTCCCCAAGGCTAGCCTTGCAGCCAGAAGTACACCATCGCCGCCACGATCGTCCGTCCTGGATTGGAGGCTTAGCGGCTTGGGATTCAGGTACACCGTTCCTTCAGCACTTCCGCGCCATGAAAAATAAGCACGCTCCCTGGACACGATTGGGGAAATTTGGCTGCAAGTCTTCATATAGTTCTTGAGAATGACATAAAATGATTATGCTTTGCCCATCACATCTCCTGTAAGCGATGGCCAGGTCAGAGTCCTCGTAAGCTCGCTGGATTACTCATCTGGCAGAGTGGACTAGCTTCTGAAGTTGGACCATGATCGATCTCAGACTCGCGCTAGCTCAGCCAACACAGGACCGAAAACTGCAGACCTCAGCACGGCTGGAACGGAGGACAAACCAGTCACGCCATCGCCATTTGAGCTTTGACCATGACCATCAGTGATCAGGTTGCATTCATCTTGGAATTTTGCTGTTGTCACATTCCGCAAAGAAACACGCCAGAGATGGCTTGATACTCAGATTATTCCAAGCAACATGAATTCGAAAAGCCAAGTTTGTCTATTGATAAGCCCCCCTGCGAACTCAGAAGCGCTGGAGCGCTCCAGCCTTGGGATCAGTCGAGGGATAGATAGGATAATTGAAAGAATCTTATTTGTTTTATCCTCATATCTGCATATTGTTTGCATATTCAATTAGCCCTGTATCTGTGGACTCTCCTGTAAGATGTTCTAAGTTGCTAGCAAAATGTTCTGAACAACTCAACACAATGCAAAAGAACAAGCTTGTGCATGACTCAACTGACTCAACATGCTCATGAGGATGACACGCATGCCATTATCTTGAGCTACCCCGATGACGAGGAAGCCACGGTTTTGCCTGAGACAGCTATGCCAGCTGTGAATAAAACAAGACATCGTGCCTTGCCCTACAAAAGATGATCCAAAAGTATCCAAAACATTGCCATAAATTACCATATACGTTCAAAATCATTTAAATACATTTAAATACCATGTAAGACTGCAAGACCCTGCAAAGACCTTATCGTTTGAGCACCTGGAAGCATCGCGGAACAGCACGGCCACTGCATTGTCGCCTCACGTCCATGAAAGGGCAGGCCCCATCTCAAGAAGTTAAGCCAAGGGCCGGACGCAAGCTGGTCACATGCAAATCAGCTACCTTGCAAGTTCAATGAGTTCAAGTCAGTTTAACTGAGTTTTACTTTCCAAAGTGGAAAGTGCATGAGAATGCCAAGAATGAAGATTAGCAATGAACAATTCATGAAAAATCAATGAACCTTAGCCAATCTGCCACTTGATGCAGGATGCGGCCTGTGGCGCCTTTGACCCAGGAGCTTCGGAGATCAGCGGGTGCTCCACGAAAGAAACCGCCGGGTTGCATACAAATCCCGTCTTAGCATGGTCACAATGGAAAATGCCAAGGCTATTTAAGGCTTGATTTAAGGGCCACAGACAGACCAAGGACGTTTCAGGATCACTTGATGATCAAATCCAAATACATAAGTTCCGTAGCAAGATGTTCAAGACATTGCTTCGATTACAATCAGTCAGTAAGCCGAATCTGAGAGACCAACACCCTCGTAGCCAGCCTGAAGGACGCATTGGGCATCACCGGCTCGACCGCTCGACGGCTCGATGGCTCGACGGCTCGACGACGAATCAATCTCGCCTTGCATCTGCAACGAGCTCCTTCTTGGCTGCTCTCATCGCAAAACCCATTGCCTGCGACATCGTTGTTGGGATCTGTTCTGCGCTGTCAACAAATGGTGTTGAACACCAGCCTCCGCAAGCGAGGCCCCCGCAAGCGAGGCCCTTGCAAGAACTAGCACCTCCCAAGTGCACTGTCCCCGGGTCCCCTTTGCTGAATTCATGTTTGCCCCGAATGTCATTTGAGAAAGCTCAGATCCGAGAAATTCACAGCACTGATCTGCCCTCTCAGTCTGAGATTCGGGCCCTCTGCTTGGCCACTGAATTGTTGGAGCGTTGCGGCAAAGCTGGATGCCATCCCTGTTCACGCAGGCAGCGGAACGAATGCTCAGCTTTGCACATGAACAACTCTTACCTTTTTGTAACTGATATATAAGTCTGACAAAGTGATAAGCATTGAATAAAGGCTATGTGAAACGCGCAGTGGATCTGCAGAACATCTCAACTGCGGATATCAAATAAGATCAACTTGACCCAAGTTGACGTGGTGACCACGTGGTGAACACGTGGTGACCACGCCTTGCGCATTCTCCTCCTCCATTCGGGACTCCTCTCGAAGCTCGTAGGCTTTCTCCAGCAGAGCCTTGTCCTTGGCAGAGATGGCCTCTTGGATCGTGGATCGGGTCCTGACAAATTGGAAGACAGGAAAAACATGATGACGTATGATGACATATGATGACCATAGAAGAATTATCTGCCCAAAATCCAGAACTGTGCCTCTCTGCATCGGCTGCATCTAGAAGAGACTGCTCTGCATCTCTGTCGTGCAACCTGAAGATTTTCCAGTGAGTCTATGACTCGATGTCGTCTGTCGACAGGGAGAGGAGATTTATACACAGGAACAGCTCTGAAGAACAGGCAGCTTAGCAGAGTATCAATGTGAGCACTATAGGATGTCTCCACTCTCCTTTTTTTATGATCATGGGTTTTCCGTGCTGCCACACAAACGGGCGGTGTGAGCCTGAGAGCCAGCTGATTTCGACAAGCCCTAGGCTCAACGACTGAAGAGCGAAAGCTATGGATCTAGATGAAAACCACCGGATAAAGCAATTGCCATGTGGAAGATGATGTTGCTCCATGATGCTCCTTGTACAGCGAAATGGCTGGCGTGCATGGGATAAGATGGGATAAGTTCGTTCATACCCTTACAGTGCTCTAGTGGAAGTTGAACCTCCGGAAGGCATCAAAGCGGACTCGCTGTGGGCCGTTCGCCTGCACACGTCTCTCAGATCTCCGCCTATACTTAACCTTCAATGCAACGTCGGCAACGCTCTCGTTCAAACACCGAGACCATTCGCCACCGTTGAAGAGTCATCTCTTCTTCCCCATGGGTATAGCAGCAAGCTCTGGCTAGAGCTACCCAAACGTGAAGAGTATGCTGCCCCAGATGCATATCTCGGAACTCGTCGCGCATATGAGCAAAGTCTTCGCTAAAGGCTCCCATGATCTGTTGCAAATGCAGTGGCTGTGTTCGGTGTGATACAAGTCCAAGCAGGAACCGAAGCGCCTCCAAGCTGCCAGCAGAAGTTTCTGGATAGTCAACGTTGTTCAATTGTGGTCTTAGGGGCAAAAGAATGTCGGCATTTTTCAACATCGATGACTTGTTTGATACATACAGGCAGTTCACCTCCAAAGGAATCTGGACTTCGTATCTGTCAAAGTCAATCAAAAGCATCTGTTCTGAATCCAAAGCTTGAATGGCTCGCAATGCTTTGACACCAGCTTCATCCAACTTCCCAACTTCCATATTTGTCTCGTCCAAAATCAGCAGTGTGCCAGGTGCTAGTTGCAACTGACCCGTCTGCAAGCGATTCGCCTCAAAGTCTTTTCGCGGTTTCCATTGCTCAGTGCTTAAAGATTGAGCCGTCACTGGTAGATGTACCACCCGTGGTAGCAAGTTGGAAATCGCCTCAACCAGAGCAGCAACAGACAGGTCTTCGGGCCACCCGCTAATGTTCAAAGACCAGTGCCCTAGTGATCTGTTCCCATTGTTGCCATAGACTCGAGCCACAGACAAAGCGAGGATGTACTCTGCCGCCAGCACATCGCCAGCCAAACACTTCTGCAAAGATTTGATGGCCAAACCACGCAGCTTGCCAATGGCACTAGAAGCAAAACGCCTTTGTACGGTACACACCAGCCGACCTTCAGAAAGCCAGCGCGGGCTAAAAGGCAACATGGGGTGGAAAAACGGCAGCTTCCGAACGAAGAGGCCGTGAAGCCTTGGCAGGTTGTCGCCCTCATCACACAGATCTGCAGGTGGCTGATTGCAATCCATGCAAAACACACCCAGTATCTCCACCGTCTCGCAGAGTCTCAAAATCTCCTCGTCTGCATCATAGAGTTTCACGACACAGGATACGAAGCCAGCGGAAAATTTAGAGGATTTGAAGCTACACAGAGCCTGAGGCTCCGCAGACTCGGCAAGCTGGTCACAGGGGTCAATGTCTGAGCACAGAATCTTTGTACCACCGGCACCTCTGCGCTGCTTTGGTGGCCTTTCACACGTCTCTGGTTCCACAGATTTAGCCGTCAGTACACTCGATCTGCCTGGAGCGTGTGCCCAAACGCTTTCTCCTGGCATCGGAACGCAGTAGTAGACTCCTCGGGTCCCAAGCCCTTGGTTTCCCAAATCGCTCACATTTTCCGCACTGCAAATCTCACGGTACTTGGTTGTCAGGAGCTTTGCCTTACCATATGAATCTGTCTGAACCAGCAAAGAGGAAAAAACTTCTGGTTCCAGCACATCCTGTACCATACATCGATATCGCACAAGGCTTTGGTGTGCAACGCTCTCAAGTTCCTCCTCGTTGAGATCGTTGAGGCAAGGAATGTGTCGGAAGTTGTCCTCGTCTTGAAGTTGCAGAAAGCGAATGAAGTGGGCCTTCTCTCGCCATTCACGTGGAGGAAGCGTGCCAGCCAGGCCAGTGTTATAAGAGTCTGCATATGGTGCAAACAGATCGTCGATCACCTCCAAAGGTTTGGAGATTTCCCTGCATGATTTCATCAAATGATTCAAAATGTTTATAGTTTGGAAGAAGGGGCTCAACCAAAAAATCTGAGCCAAGACTGCGAACGTCCGATGCTCTTCGGATATATATAAATATAAATATGATTAAATATGTATACAGTATACAGATAGTACAAGTATGTGGTAGGTGGTCGACTAGGAACTGACCCTCAGGCAACTGACCCTCAGGCAGTTCAAACTCAACATGAGCTTTGGACTGCTGCAGCAAGCTCGAGAAGCGGCTTGCTACATCAGAGACCTTGGCCGGATGACCGAACCTTTAAAAGAAAGTTCAAAAAATAGAGAAAAGGACAAAGGCCAAAGGCATCTACGTCGAGGAATAACTTGTCTTCGCGAATGAGAATGCATGTGGCGGGACAAGGCCTTGCCTCCATCTCCCGAAGAAACTTTTATAAACTCCGTGGCTGCGGCTACAACAAACCCAACCAGATTCTAGTCTGAGGCTCCAAGGCCCGTGCGACGTTTGCCGAAGAAACCTGACAAATGTTTGCTCGTGGCTCACACGCCGAAGTGAATGCCAGTGCTGAAGCTTTCTACTGCAGATAGGACTCAGTGATTTGCATGCAACCCTTCACCATCCTAATGTTGAGCTGCATTGAGATGCCATGTGAAACGGACGCACACTGGGCTCTCTGGCAGAATTTCTTCGCAAAGCATGGTTTACGTCTAAGCCTTAGTGACTTAGTGAAAGTCTTGTCTGGAGCCACGGCCCTGCTGCATCTTTCTGAAACGTTGTTTTTGTACCACACAGCTTGATGTGACGTGGGTCAAGTGCAGCAATCTGCACTGGCAATAGTGAAGTGCTCCAAAGACTTCAAGCCATGATAGCTTTGATCAGTTTGAAGTCTCTACCAATGTGATTCGTCCCAATCAGACTGTGCAAAAAGCTGCTCTACAATTGGGTCATAAAAATTATAGATATATATGAATATATATGTATATATTATCATATACAGAATTATACATTATGAAGATGTATCTATCTATACACATACATAAACATAAACATACATATGCAGTAAGTATCAGTAAGCCATGTTTGGATGATCCTCTGAAGCCCTTTGTGTATCGACCGCATCTGTAGTTTTCGACTTCGCTCCTCTCACCGATGTGTAGGGAAAAGGATGGAGGCAATCAGTGTTTCACCAACTCACTGCTGCCTCTTCTTTTCACCAGTGCTACGTCATACATGCATCTTGTATCTGTGTGGGCCAGTTTCTGTGATACATCATTCGACAAACAGTTTGTCGTCATTCTTCTTCGTTGGAGCTGAAAGTCCAAACTCAGATCCAAGCTCTGGCTAGCATGGATGAGAAGTGCAAGCCTTGGCAAATCAAGTTTACTCGGAACTAAGAAAAGTTTGCCCTCTTTGTGCAACCAAGGTTCGTTGTCAGAGACAAACCTATGTTCACTACCGTATCCTGACAGCTGTCATGATTCAAAAAAGCAAACATCCTGCACGAAACCCTGACGCTCCCAGTGGCCAGCCTGGTTGGCTCTCATGGAGCGGTAAGGCCCGGCCTTTGGCTATGGATATTGAGCCAAATGCTGAGGCGTAAAATCAGAACCGAGATGGAATGAAGATGAAACGATGACGCAAGATAAGGGAGCATAATGGAACGATGGACCTTCAGCGTCCAGCTTGACAACAAGCAAACTGTTTAGGTCTCGTCACGGATTCCGCAACAGACATCTTGCGAAGAGTCAGAGGGTCGGCCATCAGTACTTCCGAAAATTTGCTGATACATTACATTCATTCATAGATATTCATAGATATTCATGAACTTAAACACGAGATAACACGAGTTGGTCAGAAAGCATCGACCCTCCAATAACTAGTCCTTGGGCACGACGGCCTAAGCTCTTGACGGCTCCGACGGCGATTGCTAAGCAAGACTTTCTTTGTACAAGCTACGGAGGGATGCCTCACAAACTCACCTGGAGTTTCCCATGGAAACAAAAACAGCACTATGCATGGGAAACTCACTATGCATCACTGATCCATACAGCATCTTGCAGCATCTTACCGAAGAAAATATTGGTCACCACGTCACAATATGTCATTATGTCAATGGTTTCTCCACTGAAGTCGCAAGTGGGAGCTGTTCACCGGTTGCTTGCCTTTTGCTTGACCACCTTCTCTGCCCTCGGGTGCCTCTTGCGAACTGGACTGACACTTCAGCATTAAAAGCTGAAAGCCACGGAAGCTACAGAATATATACCTTGTCAAAATATGTCAAAATCCATGAAATCCATGTGCCAGTTCCACAAGACACTTGGCTGTTCGGAAAAGCCAGCCATGCCAGCCTGTGATCACCACGGAGATTCCATGGATGCCCACCTCACAGGACAACGATATCAACGATGTCAATATGAAAAAAAAATCAACTAGTGGAGTGGAGATAGTGGAGTGATCAAACTCTTATCTATCTGCAGATCTATGTTGGAGCAGCAAATTCAGTCACCAAAAAACACTGAAAACACTGATGATCGCTGCAAGTGGTTTAAGTCGTTCTTGAACGCGACAATCCTGTGATTATATGTGATTATAATAGTTACTGTCGTCGTCATGTCCGTCAGCTCCAGCACCTCCAGTCGGATGGTCCAGCTCTCCCCAGTGCTTCCGGCAATTCGCCAGAACTTTCCAGAGCCCTCGGAGTCTGGACCACACACCTCAAATATCTGCAGTGGAAATATTGCGAGATTGTCAAGCAATCCATTGCAAAGGTCAAGCGACTAGTATGCACTAGTAAAATCTTGGCAAAGGTTGAAAAGTCTGCTGCTGATGCAATTGTTTGCAAGGGCTCTCAGAACATAAATTGCCATATTTCCACAGAATCAAACGCAAAGCATCTCCAGTCGTTTCTTCGGTTTATACACTGAACTTATCATGTGTCGGAGGCGGCGCACTGGTGCACTTCCACCACCCTTCTCTGCTGGATAGATCGCCTGGTCAAATGTGGCCACCACGGGTCACAACGTGCGATATGCCGCACAGGCTGCACAGGGCTCCTGGAGCACATCCGCATCCCGCATGAACTGAAACTCCTCCATGTCCTGGATGCCTATCCTGGCACCGAGCGGGCGGAGCGGCCATAGAGCGGCCAAGCCGGCGAAGCGTTTCGTTTTGAAACTTCGAAGTCACGACATCTGTTCCAACACATCCAAAGAGTATCAAAGAGTCATGAGTTTCATCCGTTTCATCCGTCTCATCGGTTTCATCGGTTTCATCGGTTTCGCTGTAAAATCTATTTACTCTCCTCACAGTGGCTTCGTAAAGCTCACCCTTGCGCACGGCAACCATTTCAAAAGGCCTGAGAAGCAATCGATTTCACCTTCAACACCACAAAGCAATGAAAAGATACAAAAAGTGCTTCAAGCTGCACGGCTTGAGCTGTAAGAGGCCAACTTGTAGGCCGTCCATGAAGCCACTATGTAGTAGCTGTGTCTGACTACCTGTGCACATCTTGTAGCCTAGCTCAACGACCAATTCTGATCTACGTTTCGTCCACGACATACAAAAAGGAGTTCATCACAAACACTCGTATCACGGAGACACTCGTGTGGAGACTCGTGTGGAGACTCAGGATTTTAAAATGTCTTGTCGCCTTGATGGGCAGATCTGATGCCTCCACTGGCTCCCAGAAGACCCTGCAGTGATCAGCTTTTCCATGGTTCTTCAGTCTCTCGCAGCATCCCCCTTAAAGAGCTTCCATTCCGAGTATGTCAGAATTTCTGTCAATGTCTGAGCAACCTGACACTGATTTATCTGATTTCACTCCTTTGTTTTCCGAGACTTGCGAGGCTCTTTGGCCGGCCTACAAGAAACAAACACAGCCCTGGATCTTGCAATCAAAACATCGCAGGCCAAAACCAACAGTTTTCAGCTTACGGGACCGTCGCGTCCACGACTTGTCCACGCTGGGGATCTCTGCCATGACTGAGGTGCCCGTGAGGATCTTTGGGTAGAAGTCAACTCGTGTCCCCAATAGCTTTACCACCGCCAAGGTGTATTCAACTTGAGACAACAAGCCTTCCATACTCCAATGAGACTTGTAGGTGTCAGCTGGCTTGTGGTACTCTGTCTTGATGTATCGACCAACTACCTCTTCGTAGTAGGTGCCTGGCTTGCCAATGAAGTCTTGGCCAAAGAAAAACCAGCATCCGGGAATTCCGGAACGCACGAAACTCCAGTGGTCGCTCCTGTAGAATAGGCCCATTTTAGGCTGTTGATCAGGGATAATTCGGAGGCCTCGCGATGCAGCCGCTTCTTGAAGGATAGGATCTAAGGAACTCTTCCCATAGCCAAGAACGGCAATATCCTCTGTCTTCCCCCAAACATTGCCAACATCAAATGCAAAAGCAGCAATGGGATGAAGTTTTTTACCATCTACAGGTAAGGGGTCAGCTGCATAGAACTTTGACCCCAGAAGACCACATTCCTCTGCAGTGGGAGCCATAAAGAGCCCAGACCTGCTCAAGGCAGCAGAATTTTTCACTAGGCGAGCCGTTGCTAACATCATTGCCTGATTGCTTGCATGCGGAATGAAACACAGTGTGCAAACAGGGTCACCGCTAGGGTCACCTGCTTAGTCAAAATACATCATACTTCTATCAATGGGCTTAAGAATATAGAAAGATATAGAAAGTATTTGCAAAATTGTGACAAATGAAACAGCATGAAACAGCGAAGTCACAACCCCAGTGCAGTTATCAACTGCACCGTTGTAGATTTCCCCTTGCCGCTCACCAAGGTGATCGTGATGACCTGCAATGACGATGATTTCTTGGCAGTGCTTTTGGCTGGCACCAGGAATTATTCCAAGCACATTTCGGCCCTGGAAGTGTCGCATGTCATACTCTGCTTCATGTGATATACTGCCAACAGTGAAGGGTCGAAACTCCGGATCTTTCGCAGCTGACAGCCATATCTCAAGCGTACTTCCATAGGCCTGGGCCAATTTCTCTCCGAGTTCTCGGTTTAACCAGCCATGCACTGCCAAAGGGTTGACCTCTTCTTTCTCCAAAGAAACTTTCTCGCCAGTATATCCAGTGCGAGTAACACTCCAAGGATAGCCAGCAAACTCCTCACTGGAGTGGAGAATGAAGCACCCGGCTGCACCTCGTCTCCTTGCTTCTTCAAATTTGTATGTCCACCGACCATAGTAAAGCATATCTTCTGCTGGAAATGGCTCCACTTGTGGCTGATTGACTATTACTAGTAGGACCTTACCTGTTAGTTCTTCACCTTTAAAGTCATCCCACTCCAGTTCTGGGGCACTGACACCATGCCCTACAAATACTAGATCCAAGTTGTCCAAGCTTGCAAATTCGTCTCCACAACTGACAGGATCCATTGAATGAACATAGTCATCTCCGAACTTGCCAGTCAATTGGAAGTCCTTCACCTTGAAAGCAAGTTTTGATGTACCCTCCTTGGCAGTCATACCCACCATCTTGATGGTCTGAAAATATGTTCCATCTTCACCCGCAGGCAAGCAACCAATTTCTTCCATTTGACTAGCCACAAAAGCGGCTGCGACCTCTTCTCCAAATGTCCCTGGCTGCCGGCCTTTTAATGAGTCGTCAGCCAAGAACTGAATGTTCTGCCGTATCTGTCTTTCCACCACTGTCTCATCTCTCTTCAAACGCTTCGAGAAATCGGTTGAAAAACTCATGGCTTCAAAGCATTCTCGGAAGGCATGGGATCAAACAAGCCGCCACAGCTATTGGTTGGATCAAGAGCAGCCTTCCCAACACATGCCTTGCATATCTCATTTGCACAACTCAGCACCGTGACGAACTAGACATCTTAGACTTAGACATCTTCGCACCTACGCGTTCATGCAATGTGTCTTCAGTTGCTGTCTGTTCCGCTACAGATGATACATGATGTTGCAGTGTTTTTCAACGAATACTCGGTGCACCTCTTCCTCCGCAGCTCCTCACTCCACTGCAAGGTGATGCGATAGAGCGTGTGGGGTTTGGCCTTGTCGACGGAAACCAGAACCGAGGATACCCAGGGCATTTTCAAAGGCCTTTGGAAAATTGCAAGTTCCAAATGTTCAATTGGATTGATCACTGTTGGTTTAAGGCAAAATCTGCAGCAATCCATGGTTTTATCAGCCAAACATGAGGCTTTTCCATAATGTGGAGCTGCAAGAAACTCTGCAGCAACAGGAACCAGGCCTGGTCCTTCCGGCCATCTATCAGCCAGGTATGACCTTTGTGCCAAAAGGTGCTGCAAGTTCTCCGAATTTCGAGTCACGCAATGCCAGGAGAGGTTTGCTAGGAAGCATTTTGTCACAACTCGGTTCTCTACTCCAAAGTGGCTGAGAAAGTGTTCAGTCTGAGTCCTTCACCTGACGGAGCTGCACCAGGTCCCAGCACGATTGCCTCTGGGTCTGCCAGCCGCTTGGCCGGAAAAATTTTGAGGTCGTCAAACCTGGACGTTGCGCAGTGGATCGTTTAACGCATGGGGCAGCAATGGACCCACTGGTGATTTTGGTACTAAGCCATTAAACCATATCAACTCATATCACACCATCCGTAACTACCCCGTTTGGGGTCAATCATTTTAAACCATTTCCAACTCATCCTTTCCACCGCGTTCTTGTTCGAACCCGGCTCGCAGGGCGCCCCCACCCATCGCAGGAGATCTGGAATTGTTCGCGGAGCGCCTTTACCAGAGCGATATTCGTGTTACTGAATACTAAGAATAACTAATAAGTTTAAGTATAAATAACAAGATCTATACTACAGTAAATGTTAATAGTTATTGAATACTCATATCAAGACCATTAATTGGTATCACAAATACCATATTAGACTTATTAGACCAACAACAACAACACTGCCGGAAAGGCCAATACCACCGCCTCTCACTAAGCGCCTCTACACTGCAGATCTTGCCTCCCCCATCATGATGGCATAGCAATGAGCCTTCAAAGATGCGTCCCAAGTCCTGGGAAAGGTATGATCTGCCAATGATCTGGTGAGTTGAAGACTCTGTCTGAAACAAACCACTCTTGACACCACCATTCTTTTGTCAAACCTGCTGAGATCTGTGCATTTTGCCATAGGACCAACCATTGGCACTGCTCACAACAAAGTACCTTCAAATCCGGACCCAAATCTGTTGTGTATCACTATACATATATATATATATACACTGTATAAACTATATACATATACTGTATAGACTATGTCTATATTACTCTATCTATATATATATAGTGCCTTAGAGATAGCGAGAGAGAGAGAGAGTGTGTGTGTGTGTATATAAATATAATATATATGTACATGGCATATGTACCAGTAGTACCGCACAAGGCGGTGGCGGAAGTTTCAAAAATAGGAAACCTATAGGAGGAGTTGGTTGTTGTGAATCAGGGATGGCAAAGCGAATCCACTGATGGATTGAAAGGTGCTTGATCTCTCTCACTCTTTCTCTCTCTTTCTCTGCCTATCTACCTACCTACCTACTTACCTACCTACCTACCTACCTATCTATCTTCTATCTATCTATCTATCTATCTATCTTTCTATCTATCTATCTATCTATCTATCTCTCTCTCTCTCTCTATCTCTCTCTCTCTATCTATCTATCTATCTATCTATCTGTCTAGCTGTCTACCTGTCTATCTTTGGTGTAGTAGTACATGTCGTGTAGTGTTGTTGTGTACTTTTACTTGTAGGTGCAGTTGAAGCGAAGCAACCTCTGCACCGCCAAACGTGGTCCGAAACCCTACTGCTTTTAACATTTTAACTTCCGAATATGCTTCGCGCCACAACGGCGTGCACTTTTTGGAAACTCCACATCTCAGCCTCCAAAAGTGGTCCGAACCCCTGGTGTTTTGCACATTTCGACTTCGAAATGTGCTTCGCGCCACAACGGCGTGCAATTTTTCGAAACTCGACCTCTGAGCCTCCAAAAGTGCTCCGAACCCCTAGTGTTTTTAACATTTTGACTTCCAAATGTGCTTCGCGCCACAACGGCGTGCACTTTTTCGACATCGCAACTTCCAAAAGTGGTCCGACATTGGTGTGTTTTGTACATTTTGACTTGGAAATGTGCTTCGCGCCACAACGGCGTGCACTTTTTCGACATCTCAACTTCCAAAAGTGGTCCGACCATGGTGTGTTTTGTACATTTTGACTTCGAAATGTGCTTCGCGCCACAACGGCGTGGACTTTTTCGACATCTCAACTTCCAAAAGTGGTCCGAACCCCTGGTGTTTTGTACATTTTGACTTCGAAATGTGCTTCGCGCCACAACGGCGTGCACTTTTTGGACATCTCAACTTCCAAAAGTGGTCCGGAGCTGAGGTGTTTTGTACATTTTGACTTGGAAATGTGCTTCGCGCCACAACGGCGTGCAATTTTTCATCTCTCATCTGGCCAGCTGGCTCTGCACCCGCCGCTTTAGCGAGCCTACTTTTCGACCCTCCGGAGCCACAAATCATTGGAAAAACACAGTGTTTCGCGACTTCCCTACCTTTTCGCGCATCTGCATCTTCTTTCTTCTGACTCTTTCTCTTCTCTGATCTTCTCTCTTCTAATCTTTCTCTTCTCTCTGCCTCTGCCCTGCTCTGCTTTTCATCTGTCCATATTGTCGGAAGTTTGACTTCTAAACTTCCTTCGATTATGTTCGTCTCAATTCAGTTTCGCAGACGCTATATATATATATTCTATTCTGCAGCTTCTGGGCTGTGGCACTCTGTCTTGCCCTGGAGCTTCGCACCTCACGCTGACACTTTGCGCAGAGGTGCCCTCAAGAGCTCTTGCCAGTGGAATACATTTGGAGTGTGATCATCCCCAATATATTCGAATAATATGGAATAACTTCGGAATCACTGAACAAACGATTAACAAACGTATCATCAATCAACAGGGGGATTGAACACTGCTCATTTAGATTCATTCTGCAGCTCTGAGCGCGCGGCCAACTGTGTATTCACCTAGGCATCTGTCAAATCCTATAGAAAATAAAGGTGTTTGTTGCCACATTGACAAAACACATCTCAAAAGACAGGACAGTAGATGTCCAACATGTCCAGCATTTCTTATGATCTTATGATGCTCCACCGTCCATGTTGGTGATCATTGCTGCCGTGTTGCCGCTTAGACCTTCGGTGGAGTCACCATGTTCGGTCTCAAACGGTTCCACGCCTATCACCGCACGTGCCAGACCAAAGGTTCACCCTCCCGAAATGTTACACCCAAACAAAGTTCTGTCTTTGTCACCAGAGGATAAACCAAAACACTGCCTATACTCAATTTCGACTTGGGCTTCCGGGATTTAGGGTTTTTAGGGTTTTAGGGTTTGGGTTTCTGAGTTTGTCGTTTGAAAAAAATGCTGGCCCTACGAAGGGATTTGAACATGTCAAAGGATATGCCGGATCCATCGCAAGCAAACGTCTTGTCTTCAGCGAAACTGTAAAACATGAAAGAGGTGTAAAACATCAGCAATTGAATAGAATTTTCACGGGTCATGTCATGTCATATCTAGATCAAATGCACTCTTTATGGAAATTGAGACCTGGCAGTGGCATTGTGAGCGAACCGAAGGCGTCGATACATCGATAGATCCGATCGCAACCTGGGCTTCAACAGGCTGCGACCGAGCACAGAGTGACCGATCCGAACACCACAACAGAAAACTCAGATTCCAAGCTGAAACAGAAAACTCAGAAAATTGCTGAAGTATCAAAGTGTTTCATCTGCTTCATCTGCTTTAGCGCCACACCAAAGCTCATTTTGTCATCATGGGAGGTGTTGCGAGGTCCAGCTTGGGCACGACACTTAGGGCAAGTGGACAGTAGTATGGTGAGCATGGCCAGGCGTCCAAAGTGGATGCTTTGGTGCGGTACAGCTTGGAAAGTCACCACAAGTCTAAGTATCGAACCCAAATATCACCACGAGCCTTGGCACATCCACCATGGCAGCATGGCGCACATCCCAACTGATCAATCTTGGAACCAGGCATTGGATCCACCGAATCCGAAGGATGAGACGCCGAAGAAACCAGTCTCCTGTTCATTTCAGCCATAACAACATAATAGAACATATCAACATATCTCAAAGCGCAGCTGACAGCGATCCTTACCCTGGTCCACAAATTCTGGCGTGAAGTACACCGGATAGGCCTCAGTGTTGGGTCCTGTCTCCGGCCTTTGGTCCTGCCAGCTAAGTTTGGCTAGGTGAAGGCTCGGGGTCCCGACGGCATCATCGATGTGAGGATTCAGGAGCCTGTGCCGATGTCATCCGAGGATGGAGAATCAAAGGGAGGAATCGAAGAGAAGAATGATGAAGACCCAATCGAGATGGATACAAATGGTGGGAATATCATTGGAATAGGCCCGAAACAGCTGTTCTGTTCAGTTTCTGAACACTCAGTTTCCGTTTGTCGCACCATGCGCACCTTAAGTGAACGTTCGGCGCTGAAGCAGCATAGCAGCCCATCAAGACACACTTCATGAGGCCATTGATCCCTGCCTCAGAGATCACTACAATTCATCGACATGCATACGATCATAAGATAATCATAAGCGTGTATACGCGTATAGAATCAATGTAGAATATAGAATATATATATATATATATATTCATAATATATTATATTATATTATATTATATTATATCAGATTATATTAAATTATATTATATCATATTATATTATATTATATATTATATTATATTATATATTATATTATATTATATTTTATTTTATTATATATTATATTATATATAATATTATATGATATTATATGATATTATATATTGTATTATATTATATATTATATTATATTATATATTATATTATATTATATTATATATTATATATTATATTATATATTGTATTATGTTATATATTATATTATCATATATATTATATTATATTATATATTATACTATATATTATATTATATATTATACTATATATTATATTATATTATATTATAGTATATTATATTATATTATATTGTATATCATATTATACTATATATTATCTTATATTATATTATATTATATATCATATTATATTATATATTATCTTATATTATATTATATTATATCATATATCATATTATATTAAATATTATATTATATTATATTATATATCATATTATATTATATATTATATATTATATATATTATATATTATATATATTATATATTATATATATTATATTGTATATATTATATATATTATATATATTATAAATATTATATTATATATAAAATATATTTTATATATTATATATTATATATTATATATATTATATATTATATATATAATATATATAATATATAATATATATAATATATATAATATATTATATTATATTGTATATATATTATATTATATATATATATCATATATATCTTGTATAATATAATATATATTACAATATATATATGTATATATATATATATCAATGAAAGAAGTTTGCAGAAGTCCACATATGGTGTAAATGCAGATACGTGTTGAAGCAACCATCTTGTTACCCTCCTCTTGCCATGGCAAACTTTGGGTAGGAGACTATCTGTCCAGCAAGACATAATGTCAAGAGTGAGAAATGACCGCCTCTCAGACTTGGCAGGTCAAGCTTCCGGCAGACATCTCTGTGTGACCGAGGTTGGACTTTGAACTCGTTTTCACCAGTGGATGATGTCGGACCTGACCTGAGAGGTAAGATATGGATAGATTCTGATAGATATGGTAAGATTGCAATTCAATCGAACGAGATGGAAAAACTCCATCTCCTGAACTAGAGAGAAGAGAAAAACGAACAAATATCCACCTTGAAAAGGAATGCTAAGAAATATTGTGCAACAAACTGAATTTCAAAACAAGGAAATAAAATAGCCCATTAGAGCAGCAGTATGGTCAAAGCACGCACAGCCTTGAGGGGAAGCTGTGCATAAACAGCGCCCAACATTTGATACAGGTATGGGTGGCTCCATCGGTGATATCCGAAGCTGGTTTCTTGATACCAAAATAAACCAGACACATTTCTTTTTTTCGAGATTCCAAAGCATATTCCAAAGCTTTGCGGTCAGCATTGCGGTCTCACAGTCTCAACAGCCACACCTTCAAATTTCATCATGGTGGCTCGAAGGGCTCCCACCTGCATGCACGGGATGAAATTCGCTCAGAAAGCAAACGAGCGAATACAAGAGGAAAATGATGGAAAATGGGTCAAGATGGGCCAAGCACCACCCTGAGCCTAGGAATCTTGGCTTTCAAGCTTTCATTGCGTTCATTGACTTTCATGAACACAAACAACAACATACAACAACCACTTTCATCATGGCACATGTCCATCGGCAGAGAGCCCTGGACTACGGAGACATCTCCATGAGTTCGCCGGACAATGGCCTCGATGGGATCTCCAAGTGCTGTTCCCGTTCCGTGCAGTTCCTGTGGCACGACTTCCAGAAAGCTCGTGGGGTGCCCTGCATGTCTTCCACATGCCTTCCACATGCCACGACAAACGGCTCCTGGATTTGGATATCCAAAGACCTGATCCCAGCTTCTCGCAGAGAAGACCTAATGCATTCCTGCACCGATCCAAGCTCAGGAGCTGAATGGACCCCGGGGTGGAGGGGGCTGTCTGAATGGCAATGTTCACAAAGCCTTGATGAGAGCCAGAACATAGCAACGCTTTCTGCTGAGCTCTGCTGAGAACAAATGATGCGACGAACAGGACCTGCTGCGAGGGTCCATGAGGGGCAGTTAGACTTGCACTTCGACCATCCTGGAGACAGAAAGCTGACTCTTGATGTCTGGTGCAATGCGCAATTTGCAAGTTGCAGTGAAATCGATTCTGTGCGGCGAAAGCGGTCCTGATTCAAGCAGGTGCCGCAAAGAACCGCCAGCCTGATCATGCCAATGAAGAAAAAAAACATTGTCACATTGTCAAAAACTCCTGCGTCTTCAATCTCGCGTCTCCAAGCACACTTTCATGACTCTATGAAACTCTGGATAACATTATTAACTACAGCTCAAGGCAACCCTAAAATGCTGGAGAATCTACTGGATTTTGTTTCAACACAGAATCTTAAACCATCCTAGGAATCCTAAACCATATTAACATATCATAACATACCATGACCCTTTCATCCCTTTCCTATTTCAGGGCCCGTCCCTTGGTGTCCACGCCTCGCGAGGTCTTCTTTGCTGCTGACCCGAAAGGCCATGGCTCCGCAGCCCTCGCCGCGAATGAAGCCATCCGCCGACTGCGGGCAATGCAAAAATGAACACGGCATATTGGATCATGTTCTGATCATGTTCTGATCATATTGTCAAATATTCAGAAAATACCAATAGATACCAATAGAATGCAGATGTATGTAGTATGTAATAGATTCAATAGAGAAGAATCAAATAATACCCAACAAAGATAAGGGTACAACTTGATGTGGCTGTCGAAAAAAGGACAAGAGCTGTCTTCCAGCCGTGTTCAAACAAGATTGTTGACTGGAAGGAGCAAGTCCATAACACCTCACACAGTGCCTGGTCGAAAGTAAAGCATCGTCCGACGTGAGACAACCTCGTTCACAAACGGCTTCAGACTAGGTGGTTTGGACTCAGGTGAACAAATTGAGGTGTAAGACTGCATAAAAAGTGGTTAATCATGGTCAACCTATCGTTGTGTACATTGCATAGTCAATTTTCGCGCTGAACTGAAAGGAGTCTGTGCTGGTAGAATCAGAATTTTGTGTTGAATTCAAATTTCACCCAGCAAAGTCGGGATTTTCCACACCGCAGAATCTAGCCTGATCATGAATGACTGTTCCTTTGCATGTCGCTCACCAGGCCATGCAATTGCTGGGTCGCCACACATGGAAGCACCGCACAAGGCAATGGTGTAACTGAGCACCGGAACGCAAGGGAAAACGTCTTAAGGAATGATGTTCTGCAGTGGAGGAACCTTTCACCCAATTCTCAACGAAGAATGTTGAACTGAAATGACCTTCTGATTCTGACCTTGCATCGCTTACCCTGGTCCAGCGGAGTCCAGCGTACCATCGATATTCGGGATCATTGATATTCCGATGGTTTACAAGTTGCACATACGCAACAAAGTTCCAAAAAACAGCTGACATTTGGGTCAGGAATTTCCGCGCTGGTTTGGCTCAAGGAAAGCTAGCTGGGCAAGGAGAGATGTGTATTGAGAGAATATGTGGCGCGACCTTTCGAGTGTCATTTTCTTGAACTGAAATAATCTACCATTCAGCGTTGCTGACATGCTAACAGCAGCGTATCATGATATTTTTTCTCGCATGCACCATAATCGTTCCACAACCCTCCCCCTAACATCCAAGCATACCAGCGTCAACATTACGTTCCTAGTACTCTACCTGCCAAATACAAAGTGCCCCAACCGAACGCGCTTCTGTTGAGTCACTTTGCAAGCATCTGATTGAACCTCTTTCCCTCGGCCTTTCCTTCTTGGTTCCTGTCCGTGACATATTATATCATATTATATTACATATATATATATATGTATGTCTATGGTCAATAAATCTAAGTATCTCTATCTGCCCAGCTACATATCGATATATCTATAGTCTACATGTATAGCTATATATATACATATATAATCATCTATATATATATATATCACTATACAAGTAACCCGGTCTTAGAATCTGGTAACTTAGGTGCATACATCCATCGAGCAAGAAACGCTTGGGAATCTTAAGGTGCGCATCTTCCAAGACCGGGCCATGTTTTCATGCAGACGTCTTGCGGAAATGGAATGCAAGACTCCAAGTGGCTGTTCTCTCAAAAAATTATATTACATTAGGTTAGGTTAGGGTGCATTAGATTACATTTGATTTGATTGCATTAGAGATTAGATTAGATTCCATTGCGTTAGATTACATTAGATCACATTAAATTAGCTTAGATTAGATTGCATTACATTACATTGCATTACATTCACAACACTCACGGTGAATCTCATCTTGTATATGTGTGTGCGCTTGGGCATACGAACTCGTGGTCACAAATGAAACCCAGCGGGATGGACGCAGCTGGGTTTGAGTCCGAGGGGGGTCACAGTTCGACCAGTTCGACATGAAAGATGATGGAAGCTGCATCCAGTCTGCCCCCAATTCAGTGCTAAAGCAAATCCAACTTCAGCTAGCAAGCTTTCATGATAAGTTTGATGGCACTTTCATCCCACCACTGTGAATATCGCATCTTTGCGCTGAAATCATGGTCTTTGCGAAAACAGCACAGCAGCTGGTTTCCTGTTCCAATGGTCCAGCAGATTCTGTGTGCAGAGTTGCCAAGCCGGTGGAATGAAATTTTGCGTGCACTGCAAAGTGAAAGCGACTGTGCAGCTCGAAGTTGCTGAGGCCGGCACAATGGATCGAAGTGTCCGTTTGAACCAATCGCTATGCCATACTTCACCTGCTCACGGAAAAAAAAGTGGGAAATGCATTCCAGTTAGGCTGGCACAGGGTACTCCACTGGTTGCTAATAGCACAACAAAGGGCATCAGAGTAACTCATCTCGTTTCACGAATTTCGAATTCTGAGGAAATTGATCAAAAGTGAGCAGTCCTGCTTCCTCATTGCTGCCATATCCTTCGTCTGCTCCGGCATGACCGGGCGCAGATTCTGACAGGTGCAACACCAAGCTCTCAGAAAAATTGCGGCTTTTGAGCATCAAGGTTTCATCAGTGTTTTTGACAAAGACCGCCATCCGGAAGTTCGTTTGGCACTTTCCTAAAAGGGACCCCCAACCATTTGGTTTTCCCATTAAAAGTTTATCAATAACTTGGATGTTAGCTTGGGGTCCCGCATCACTTTGAAAAGTCTCATTTCTGTCAGCAAACAGGCGCAGGTCACATTGTGCATCAGGCCAACTGCTGACAGAGAAGACGAGCATGCCGTCTCCGTAGTTGAGACTGGTCCTATGTCCGAAAGGCCATGTAAAGTCTACAAAGATCTACAAAGATATATCAGTGGGATTGTCAAGGTGAGATGTGCTTGTTGTTTGATGTGTCAACACTAAGCTTAGGACTGTTTGGGAAAATGACATGTTTTCGGCTCGCAACATGTTCAGTATTGGGAGACCAGGAGATTATCTATGTTTTGAGTAGCACGACAAAAGCATTGGAAGAAAATGAGAAAAACAACTCCATAGGTAAGGACAACAAATTCAGCCGTACTATATTGCATACAAGAACCAAAAAGATGAAAGTTGCAAGAAGACACTTTCAGGAACGCCATTGTTTAGGATCTCAACTGTATTGCGAACATGTAGCATGTACTGAATATGCATGTATATGTATGTATGTCTATATATATATATGCGTGTGTGTGTGTAAATGTATCTATCTATCTATCTATCTATCTATATATATATATATGCTAACCCCCCCCTGAAACCTACCGGTTTCGATTTTTAATGTGTTTTACAGTGATTTTTGTTGGTTGTTGCCTTCAAAAACCGCCAGCATTATTTCATTCGTTTGAAGACTTTGGATGCTTGAACATGATGAGTCATGATGTTTCATGTGTAGATACAATGACATATTTTTGATGGTATTTGCAGCGTTTTCGACTACCGCACTGTGTTCCCAACAAAGGGTTTCCATTCAAACATTGACAGAATGCGCACGGCACTGTGGCCAAATGTAAATGTTAAGCTTTACATTGGTTTTTACAATGTGTTTGTTCCTTCTTGTGACACATGAATTTTGGATTCTGGACACCTTCAGATCTTGCAGACATATTATTTCATGATCAACATGGTAGATATTTCTTAGGCCTTTTTTTTCTTACTATGTAGCTTCTCTCTTGCTGTACTGCTGCAGTGGCTCAATACTTTGGATGATGTGTGGGTCTTAGGAGGTCCTAGGACCTCTTAGTTCGTACCCCTTCCAAACTGTGTCTTAAGTATAATTTACGCACCTCCAAGTTCCTCAACCTCTCTGCAAAGTTTCCCTTAAGTAGTGATTCAACCCATATGAAAAAAAAACATTCAACACTTTGGGTCTTTTCCCCAAACCTGAAAAAGGCAGTGAAAACACTGTAAATGACTACAAGAGACGATCAAACATGCATCCTTCTCTTAACCAATTCTAAGTGACAAGAGCAGGCTTTACAAACAGACACTTTCATTCAAAGGGTGTAGCATTCCTTGAGCAAAAAGAGTATTTCTTTTCAATAGGTAGCATGCATTTGCAGAAAGCCACTTCTCTTGAAAATAGATCTCTTCATTTCGATCAATCAGCATTTTTTCCAACATGTAAATATGCATTCTTAATTCACAGACCCATTTCATAGCGTACTAAGTACAATACTTCTGGAAGGAAGAAATACGTTGCACAAACAGTCCCTGCAACATACAAGGCATCTTCCACTAAAATGCAGTATCTCTTCAAATCAATTAAGACTATCAGAAATGTAGCCATTACTTTGAAGAACATACATGTTTTTCTCTACGTTACACTTTATTTGTTGAAAAACAAGTTGGATATTTAAAAGAACATGCTGCACATGTGGCACAAGTACTGCTACATTGTACTTTCTAGTGTCCGTATGCCCTAATGTTTTGACAGCAATTGTGTATACTTGAAATGAGCAAATGTAAGCCGTCTTTTCTTAAACAAAAACATCACAAATGCTACCTTGGTGAGATTGACAGTGCCCCTTCTGAAGAAAAGTGAAAGGGCACAGCATAACTTCAATAAGAAAGCTCTCTTACTCTATGCAGTATTCACTGGAAACAATAATAGTTCCAAAAGAGTTGTAGTGTAGCATTACTTTGTTGCAATTTTCCATTGACAAGAGTGATGCATTCCTTAAACATGGTGGGGCATTCCTTCAAGAAAATGCAACATTGCTTTGACACAGTGTGTTCATCTATTTTCAGGTTTGGGTAAAAGACCCAAAGTTGAAACTTTTTCATGGTGGTTGAATCAATCCCATCTGCTTAAGGGAAACCCAAGATGGATGCATTTCCACAGGAATGCATTCACAATGCATTCTTTCCCTAATGTAAGATCTAAGATCTAAGATTTGCTCAGGGGTCTTTGGGGAATCTTAGCTGTATATAAAACCAAGAACCAAGAACCAAGATTTGCTCAGGAGTCTTTGGGTCTTTGGGGAATCTTAGATTTAAAACCAAGAACCAAGAACCAAGATCCAAGATTTGCTCAGGAGTCTTTGGGGAATCGTGGTTCTTGGTTCTTGGTTTTGGTTTGGAAATTCCAACGTTTGTTCAGGAGTCCTGGGGGAATCTTGGTTCTTGGTTCTTGGTTTTGGTTTGGAAATTCCAAGATTTGTTCAGGAGTCCTGAGGGAATCTTGGTTCTTGGTTTTAGCAGAGAATGCATTTTTAATGCATTCTTCCCAGAATGCAGAGAATGCATTCTGAATGCAGTCTTCCCAGAATGCTATCATTGAAGTTAAGTTCAGTCTCAATAGCATACTTGTTTCACTATTGGAATATATATATATATAATACCCTTAGCTTGTATGTAAGGTTAAGGTAACCCCCTTTTGACCCAACCATCTGATGAATATGTCAAAAAGGTAGGTTTGGGGGTGGTACCATATATATATATGTGTGTTTATACATTTATATATATATATATGTAGATATATATATATATGTATTTATGTATATATACATATATACATATATGTGCGTGTGTGGTACATGAATATGTGTATATGTGTACAGTACTAGCTAGCTAGATTCAAAGCATGAAATGCATGATGTCACTGTCACAACTGTGCCTGAGAGGATCACTCAGCAAATACAATGGTCCAGTCATACGCAGAACTGATCCAGCCTTTCATGCCAAACACGAAGTGGAGCCTAGATGCCTTGGGAAAGCATCTCTTGTTTCCATTGTTTCCATTTCCTCTATGTTGGATAAGGTGAAAGACATGATTCACCTTTCCAAGCAGGGCATCTGCACATATTCAAGAAGAGCATTCCATCCTGACTTTCAGCATCTTCTGACACTGAGTGCACTCTGAGAACTGGACACAAGCTGAGGGATTGTTTTGGAGGTAGATCTGGTCTGTGTAGCCAAAAGCTCCTGCCAAGCTAAAATGAGACAGCAAATTATGCCCGCGCTAACAGAGACATGCAGCAGGCAAAGAAGAGACAAAAACAAAGTCGTCCGAGCGATCCAAATTTGTAAGGGCTAAAATAAAGCGAATTGTCTTCATGGCGAATTTAACAGCTCACAGGAACCAAACGACCCCGAAGCATCCTCTCATTGCCATGTTGGTCACAAACTCGCTGGCAGCATAGCCGAAACTAGCACACCTTCAAAAATTCACAAAAAAAGATAATGAGAATGAGAAGACTGTCCGAATGTCGCAACCTTCACAAGGCAATGTTGAGGCTCACGGCTCACATGCACGGAGTCGCGCTCAAGCAGCACCAACTTCTGGGAAACCGGCATCTCCACCCCACGCAACGAATCACAAGTCCAGCCAGATCTATAGAAACAGTCGTAGCCTGACAGGCTCGGCCAAGGACAGCCATGGTTCATGGTGCCCCGCAACTTCTGGAACCCTAAACATGCCAACTGCACCGACTTCCAGCGAATTCCTTTGCACTGGATCAAGCATTTTCGCCTGTCATGAAAGTTGTGAAACAAGAAGGGCAATGGACACAAGCAAGACCAAAAGAATCCTTGGCGGCCTCTGTGCGAAGTTGGCTGCTCTTGGTAACTTACATCAACATGATGATATTAGCATCGATTCATAGCCGGCCCTACGGAACAAGTGAATCAACTTCTCTGGACACGACACAGTTGAAAATCGGATTAGCTCTTTCGGCTTTTCAAGCTGAATCCTCCTAGGTTTATCCGAGTTTATCCTCCAAGACATTCAGCGACTTTTGCACTACGGCGCCAAGCGGCCTCTTCAGCTGACATGTTGAAGAACTGGTTGTCGAACATGGCCATCTGTGTGTCATTGAGCATGCCAAAGTGCTGGACGTAGCCCTGCATCATGGAGGTCTTAGAGGGTAGCTTGTGAGTGCGCAGACTGTCAGTAGCGGCAGGAAGACTATTTGATTCTAAAGACCGTAACCTCTCACACAGCAAGTGCGCATGCACTCAGCCCTCTAAAACGTGAACCTGAAATGTAAACCTGAGGTGAAAACTTCAGCACGCCAATCCCAGCACCTTCCCCTCTACATCTGCTTCTGCAGAGTAGTACAAGTCCAAATCCCAGCCTTACCGATGGATTCCCCAAAGGGTCGTGAATGTACATCCAGAGATTCTTTTGTCTGCACACTATAGTCACTACAGACTCTGAGTGCCTCGCGTTCCAAAGGCACCTGGACAATTGTGTCACACCCTCCAGATAGCATGGCCCAGTAGTCCTGTCAGGTACAAAAGGATACTAAAGACATATAGCACATGTAGATAACTGTAGATACGTATTGCATTATAGCATTGCTTTTGGCACCTACATCGCTGAAGCACTTTGCAACGGCCAACCACCAAACAATGGGAACATGGCGGCCAGCTCCTCAGGCCCCATGATCTTCCCAGGATCTCGCACCTTCGGGTCGTGTCAAGCCACCAAAGCTGCGGAGCAACCGGGAAACGTCACAAAACATCATGTGTCTATATATATATACATATTAATTATACATATATACATATGAATTATACATATATATATATATACATATTATATATATACATATCAATTATATATATATATACATATACATATTAATTATATATATACATATTAATTATACATATATATATACATACATATTAATTATATATATATACATATTAATATATATATATACATATCAATTATATATATATATACATATTAATTATACATATATACAAATTAATTATATAATAATATTATATACATATTAATCATATATATATATACACATATTTATTATATACATACATATCACATATCATCAGATAGTTTTCATCAATTCAACTTGTTTCAAAGTGCTTCACAACTTCCGCAACAGCTTGTAACTTCAAAATGAGCAGAATGGTCTCAGCTCTGGACTGAAATGGCCATCACATCGACTGTTTCGTTGCCACTGCCTGGCATCAGAGCTGTTCGAAAGATCCGAGCCACGGATTCAAACACGGAGGGCACACCATAGAGCGGTCCTGCCGGAATCTTCTTTATCGCCTTGAAAAATCATCAAAGGCCCCGGCAAAGGCATGGCAAATTTGATGATGCTATGGAATCAGTGGCTTCTCTGTCGGTGCGGACAGAAATTTTCCGCTTTCACTGATGTTCACAGGCTGTCTCAGTGAAACGCAGCTGATGAGGCCAAATCGCTTCTGCGCACGAGGCCATGCAGAAACGCAGCACAGGAGTGGCTGTTCAACTTCGGAAATCCTTCAAGAAGTAGGAAATCATTTCAACATAGGCGAACACACTACTTTTTTTCCAGGTAGGTTAGCACTTTTGAATTGCGCCTCAACACAACTTGGCAGCCGCACTGCATTCTGCAAAAAGATATCCCAGCTGCCTGCAGCACTTCAACGTAAACTGCAGCTACTGCGCACTCAGAGCGCTTGAGCGTTTCATTGAGGCGCTCTTCAAGCTCTTCGGAGTCGGACTGAACTTTGGTCGTTTGAACCCCAGGAATGGTTTTTTGGACAGACAAAGAATTGAAGGCCTGTCTCGCAACCGCTCCCAGTGAAACACCCACGACACAGGCCACGGGTCGAGGATCTAAGCCTTCGAACAGCTCTCGTACGTCGGAATCATGTACTTGATGTTAATGAATGCATCTTCCCCTGCAAATCCATGCAATTCCAAGATTCGAAAGCAAAAGCAGTTCAAGTCTCTTCTCAAGCAGAAGTGAGCACTTTCTTGTCTACTAGGACACAGCATGATTGAATCATTCTACTTCTTCATCCACCCTTTGAATCGTTTTTACAAAATTCATAGTCTGAAATCTGTGACTTTGGTGACAGCTGTGGCCTCCATGGGCTTCCAGGATTTCCAAGGTTTCATGGATCAACTCGCCCAGGTTCAACCTCTTGCGTTGTGCATAGTCCATCAAATGTCCCAAATTCTTGTTCTTTCCGATATACAAAGCAAAGGTTGGCAAGATTTGGCGATAGTAAGGAACCTCGGCAGCCGTCTCACGCCGGAAAGAGGGCCGATAGTGTTTCATTCATGTCATGCTCAGAACGTGGAACACTCAGCTTTCTGAACCTGCGAGTCAGTCGTCTTTTAATTGTCTTTTCAGGTTCTTTTCAAGTGATACGGTTCCAAGATTCCAAGGATTCTGTCGCACAGAATTCACAGATTCAAAAAGCATCAAAAAGCAAGAAATGATAAGACATGTGTGAAATCTGTCAAGAGACAAGGGCCTCACCAATCATATCAGCACTGAGGACTAACGTCTGCAAGACCTTGAGAACGGTGCAAATGATCGCTGGATCCTTGGTGTTGAAGGCGGTCTTCATGGGGATGATGAGTTGAGGAACCACAGGCAGGATCTTGGGACCGCCTCGAGCAAGCATGTCATAGGTCCCGGTCACCGCCAGGAAACGGTAGGGATCCTCCTTCTCTCGAAGACCTTCAAAGAAGATGGGCAAGAAATGATGGTAGTCCAACCTTTCCAAGTCAACTTTCCAAGTGATCTTTCCTCCAACGGAGCCATGAAGGATGCAAATAGGCAAGTCTCCGCGATCATAGAAATTCCGGAACTGTGATGCGGTGATAATCTGGCGCTTTCGGGCCCCTGCAAACGGAGGCTCATCTGGAGGCAAGTGTGGGTTCCAACTGAAGCCCTGAATCTTGCTAGCAATCGTCAATCCTGGATCTGACTTGATTCGGGGCAACAGAGCGGTTCTTGCCCGCTGCGCTGCCTTCAACTTGGATTTCACTCCTTCTGGCAAGTAGTCGGTTGGAAAGTCACCGAAGCAGCAATGGCTGCCCATTGGAATGAAGCCTTTGGACTTCTCGTATTTGGTGCCCACCATTCCATCTTTTCGAACCATGGCCCTGACTGTTTCTGTGTTGGATTTGAATTGAAAACGATGAACTTGACACAAGATATCAAAGACCAAGTATGGGAATAATGCATACATATCAAAAAAAGTAAAGGAACTAGTTTATAGTCTAGCGTCTGTAAGGCATCTTCGATCCTCGGCTTGACAAAGCATCTGCTTCAAGGTCAAAGCACAACTTTGCTTCCCGAATTCTAGCATCTGGCATGCAACAGGATAACATGTTGTAGCAATTTCAGCAACCCGACGTAAAGCTAGCGAACGATTGCCATTCACGGTATAAAAAATGGCTACTTACCTCTTCTAGCTATTCATATTTAGTTGCTTGTTGAATCAAACGCACGGAAGTTGCTTCTTCAACCATTGTAATATGCAAACGCTCTTGGAATCTACAACTCCCATGAAATCATCTCCAAGCTTCATCAGGGTGGCCGCTGGGCCCGGCATGTTTGCAGCGCGGTAGCCGTGAAACGGACTGAGCTACCAGCCTGCGCTAGGGGCCTAGCTAAATGTCCAAACTTGAGATCCAAACGGCCGTGGATTTTCCATAGATTCTCAGGTCTGCACTGGATACAGAAGAAGCATCTGCTAATTCTACACGTGCAGAACAATCAAGCGCAAGTCATTTTGAAGCAATTCTGGGACCAAGAAGCGCCTCTTTAGGATCAAAATCCCTTCGGGCAACTGCTCCTCCCACTTCAGGCAACATCATAATGTGTCATGCATACAGTTTCATGCATGTTGTTGCACCGGCAATACCTAAACTTCCAACGAGGTATTGCTCGTGTCTCTGCCAGGCAAAGCGGAATCTCACAACCAAAATAGAGCCTCTGCGAACCCCTCCCAGCTCCTGCAGGTGAATCTCTCAGAAGCCACACCTGTCTATGGAGCACTCCAAAACCCTGCCACTGACCACTGCTTTGCATACAATTGACACTCAAAACCATGACCAACAGGTACTATTGTGATTGAATCAAGACATGGAAGTCTTCACTTCCCACTTTCAACATCTTTCAACGCATCTCAGCTCCGTTCCTGCAAAGCATGTTGATCCTTAACAGGTTCGAAACCTGGTGGCGATGTTTTGCCGGGTGCAACTGCAGTCGGAGGTTTTGCTGCCCGAGATTTCACCAAGCAGCTGTAGTCGAAAATGTCGTGCCGGAAGACTAATGTCATTCCGTCCTGACCAGAAGATACCAGGGGTCGCACGTGCAGAAAATTAGTCAGCGCAGCTGCGTTTGCGCTGGAGAAGAAAGAACATGACCGACAGGAAAGAAAAGATTCAGGTGGCGCCTGGCACTTCACTGGAATATCGGATCCTTCTCTATGTAGAGTCAGAGTTCCATCGGAGCCCCCAACTATGTGCAGAATACACACCTGTGCACCAATTCAGAACAAGGCCTGACTGTGAGAACTCTGACAAGATATTTCTCACTGAAGTCGGCGTCCAGTCTTTACATCAAAGAGCTTCCAACCTTCCTCTGCTCTCTAAACAGAAGGCGGTCCTGCTGGCACGTGAGATTCATTCTTTCAAGCATCCTCCAAAGAAAAAGCAAACGTTCTCTGTTTCTCTGATTTTTCCTTTAGAATCTGCAGATTCGCCAGACACTTGGGGGAGCAGTCTCCAGAGGTGTCCTGCAGCACTGAAGCCTCGACTTTGATGCCTTGGGCAGGTAAGGCCTGGCAACGCTGCATGTGATGCTCGTTGATGCTTCTTGTATCTTCTTGTCGCTCAGGATCTCCATACAACTTATATAGATATATATATATAATAAATATATATATACATATATATATATATATACATCCAGAGAAAGTTTGGGAGGTACAATGATTGCCAGTGGAACCAGTTGCTTTTTGTCCTCATCTGTGCTTGCAGTATGTGCCATCACCCGGGTCCTGGGAAGGAAAGCACAATGTTTGAGTGGGGTTTCACGAAACCTCGGAATCGTGCCGTGAAACCAACCTCAACTTAGTCATAAATGTGGAAGTGCGGCTCAGCCCATCCTCCCACTTGAAGGAAGACCAAGATCTGGAGTAATACTTGCAACCACTTCAGCGAGCTCGACTAATTCCTGCAAAAAAGTTGCTGCCAACTGGCATCATCGTGCAGGGTGCACAGGCTTTGCAAAGCCAAAGGTACGCCAAAGGTCTGTTTTCATGAGCAAAGCAAGATGGCAGGCTTTGACAGGCCTTGCAAATATCCGCCAAACCATCATCTCCATCATCTAGCCAAGACACCTGTTGAAATGTCCAAAGAAACAAAGCGTTTGATACCCAGAGCGGTGAACGCTTGGATACTGGAGCTGTTGGACCTCACCTTGTTCTGCAAAAAGCTACGCCCCATAGTGTCATTCTCAAACTCCGGAAATTCTGGCTGCCATCCTTGGTCAAGCGAATCCAAAGACAACTTATCACACTTCTTTTGTGATGATTTGTATACAGTATATATATATAATATATATATAATTAGTAATTCGGTTCATTTTTACCAAGCAAAAACTGAAACCACTTGGCTCCAGACTTTCTCTCCCTTGCAAGGCTTCATGCACAGACCTGGAGTATGTGCGCAATCTTACCAATCACAACTCCTCCGCTGTTCCCTCTGCAGTGGTCGATCTTTTTCACACGACCTCAATGTCTATCACTTTCGCCAGGTGACGTGCGATCAATCCTTGGCGCAACTGCGATGGGCAGCTGCAGCACCGCATAGTCTTGTGCCCGTAAAGTCTGGCGCAGCTGCGCAGTGTTCAGGTGAACTATGGTCGAATAGACTCATTGCAGTAATGACACAACATAGTCCAACAAACAAATACAAAGCCTGCAGCAATGCAGTTATGTCATTCGGAGCAATTTCCATGGCTCACAGCGAGCTCAAGCAAAGCTATGTGAGACTCGACTTGACAGAATTATTGTGAATTCATGAAGGCCCACCACGCCCCAATAGTCTTGGGTAGTTTGGGTAGTTGTTCAAAAGGATGGTTTTACAGCTTTGGAAGAACCATTGACCCATCTCGCTTATCTCCACAGCAAGGTGAGTGTTTGATTTGTTCTTTGGTAAGACATGGGAGTACAACCAGTCTGCCAAAATTGTGTTTTTTATTCTGAGATGCCAATCACCTGATTTCAGGATGTTGGACCCTTCTCAGTCTTCTTCAGAGCGCTCTGGTTTGCCATGTGTTGAAGAGACTCGAATATTCCCAATATGTGAAGAATCTGTTCTCTGGAAGCTGGGTCGTTGCTAATTGGCAATGCTTGAGCCACATCGCAGCATCATTTATTCTTCAAAAGTTGGCAGCGCTGTTAAACTCAACCCAACAGACCCAACACAACATCGCAGCTTCGCCGTCACCCACTCCTTTTTCCGCGCAGGGGGGCGCTGCTGCGCCGGTGGTTGAGATCAGAGAGGATCTAAAAGACCTCAGACAGACCTCAAACAGACCTCAGGAACCTTCATTTTCTATCTACACTGCCCAGCGCTGAGCCGCGATATGGGGAATATGGGCCTCACTGGGCCTCACTCAGAAAATGATTCCGAAGGGTGTTCAAACATGTTCCGGAAAACGTCTCACCGCTGCCACTCCCGCTGAGTCCTGACTTCTGCAGGCCCTGTGGTCAATGGTCAATGACTCTTGACTAGGCGATTCAACAGGGTTGAAATGGAAACTAGAAATAGGGGCCTTACAAGTCTTACAAGGCACAAAATCAAGCACTTCTATAGTATTTGTTGGTTTACTTGCAATTTTCATTGCAAGAGAAAACAACTGCAAAACCTTGATTGTGAAAATGTGGAGGAATTCAAATTTCCCTCTTAGCTGATATGCAGTAGCCTCCAGCCGTGGTCCCTTGCTGAGAAAAGTCCGTAGCTGAGAATAGGAAATGATAACGAAAAAATGTGTGTGTGTGTACACTGTTGTACCAAACAGGCAACAACAGTTCAATCGTCAACTTTTCATATGCCGGGTAACTGGGGACTTTGTGACTGACCCAGTTCAACGAAGCTAGGTCACAGAGTGGGATATCTGGATTGGCCATCCAGACGTGCCTGCATTAACGTCCAATCAGTTTTTCGTCAATGGCAACTGGGCAAAGCCAAAAACCCAGCATGTGGAGTTTAACAGGGCAATCTCAAGGCATTTCCATTTGTAATTCGAGTTTTTGGTCATTATCTCAATGTGACATGTCGATATCTCGCATTGATTCGTGAATCTTGAAATTATGGACGCCGTTAGCCTCAAGGCGAGGACAAAGTCTATCAAGAGTAACTCTACAAACCACCCAATCTGCAGTGTGTGTGTGTGTCTCCGCCATGAAATGTCCTGAAAGCAGGAGACACCTGATTTGCATTCAGTGTCCATGGGTCTATGCTATGTGAGTCCCGCGGTAACGAGGTGGATCACAATAGTGAAGGTTGAAGTGGAAGTATACAAACAAGAGACCAAAGTGCCGGTGGAACGATTTGAAAACAAGTGGGACTGTGACAAGGTGAAGCTTATTCGGCTTATTACTTGCAGACGTTGTATTGATCACTGACCGCCACTGCTTCGCTCATATCCTACACCAAGCCGCTGCGCTCACAGGCTGCAGCCGAGATGCTTTCCCAGGGGCATCACCTCTTGTCGCTTCTGATTTCTCTGAGCACAGTGAAACTGGGGTGAAACTGACTTCAAGCTTGGTTCTTCGTGTTTTGCAAATGTGAAGTCTAAGGAGAGCCAAAACAGGCTGATTGATGACAGTCCAAGGAGAGTCACCAAGCTTGTATAGGCCATGTTAGGCCAAGGTAATTGCATGCTTCCCATCCTTCAGTTTGATGTTGTTCCTCAAGCAAGATCAGCACTGCTATGTATCGTAATGCACAGATTCAATCCTCAAATAATCATTGTCTTTGATCAAATTCTGCATTCCATTCCTTCTTCAAGTGTAAGCTGGTGTGCATGCGTTCAACCGTCCACAAACAGTGGGCCCTAGTGAGACGTCTACGATGGTTGAATCATAGTTCCATGCTTTTTGCAGTGTGGGGGCAGCTTGCACAAGCATCCGCTGCAGTTTTAACAATAATCCTCTATTGCTGACAAGGCATAGCCTGAAAAATACAAAGTCTATATGTCCATAAATGTCTGCGGAATCTACAGGTGCTTCGGAACTTAACTGAAGAATACCTCTTTGAAGAATACATATAGTCTATAGTTACTATAGTTTTATGTAGTAGTTTCTTTGTCTTACGATTTTGGTGGATGCTTCAACACGGTCTCTTGAAACCCGTCTCTGAATTCCTGGGTCCATCGATGCCATTGAGTCCCAGGCTTTTCAGCGAGAAGGGATACCCAGGCATCCAGCTCCTCTTCTGTCTCAACCTGCAGAATTGTGGCCCGTTGCTCTGCGATCCTACCTCTGCCGTATTGTGCCCTGTGCAAATGGATATGGTGGAATCCAACTGAACCCTTTCAAATCTGCGTCAAACCGGAGACGCCTTCATTTGCAAAGGGGGGAGACTCAGCTCTTGAAAACGTCCATCCTCCATCAACCTGGCGGAAGCTGGAACCAAAGCGAGACCATTTGCACTGCGAATTGGGAGGTGACACCTTTTGTGCAGTACTGACGCAAGCAGCATTTGCTTGAGCTTCTCGGTCCCTCAGATCCGCTACTGCAAGGCTGCTAAACGACAGCATTTCTTGCACTCTCTGGTCAAGGACAAGTAGATTGAAGCGATTGAATTAAGTGAGACATGCAATTGAGCTTTCAGAAGGACCAAGTCACTTGGTCCAAGTCTGTTCTTTGGTGAATGAGCAAATCCACAGTATGCTCAACAGTCAACACAAACTTGCTCAACATGTCGTCACTTGTCGGAACACGTGCAGCTCGAATCTGTACATTCTCTCACATCTTGTAAGACTGTGATGCCACTTCCAATGAGTATGCTAAAATTTGATATGGTCTGATAACCTCAGGACCAGATGTTTGCAAACAATTTCAACAGCGAAGTGCGCATCAGAAGCCCAGAAAAGAAAGAAGACCACCTTTCTTCTTTAAAGAGAGGCCTCTCAGCGGAACAAAGATGGTGCTGCGACCATCACCTGCGGGTTTCCCACAAAACAAAGGCAGGTGCTCAGCAGTCTTTCTCCATAGGTTACGGATCTTTCCATTGACATCATGGAATATCGTGGAATATCGTGGACCAAGACCAAAGGGTCAAAGGGACGTTTTTTTCAATGTCGCATCCAGCCTGGTGGATCAACTGCATCCAAACGGACCATGAGACCTCCAGCTTCTGTTGGTGGGTGCTCTGCTGCTGCTGCAGCGACACCTTCCACGTCTTTGACAGGACCTCCATGGTGGTCCTGCGGCGCAATGCCACGGAAGAGGGAAGACATATGGGAGGACTCCGGAGGGCAGTGTGTTTTGCGCAACTCCGGAAAATCAGATGAAATAAGTGCTTCGAGATGTCTCGCGAGCTAAATGTTCATCATGAGGTGAAGTGATGCTGCAGTATTGCCTATGCGGATATATCAGCCGAGGGCAGAGCAAATCGCTACAACATGCTAAGACCACCAGCCTATTACGGCTCGCGCTGCAAAGAGCACCTTATGATTCTATGACCTCATTAATTTACTTTGCTATACTTTAGTGCATTTTGCGACACTGGTGCGATGATGTAGGCTGGGCTTACAGCCCACAACCAGAGCAGGCAAAACAGCCGAGAGTTTTTCACGCCAGATGGGAAGCTTTACAATGCATCTAAAACCTACACGAGCAAAAATTCCTAACAGAATGCGAAGACGCATGTTCAGATGAATCTCTCCATGAATCTCTACCTCTACACTCAGTATAAGGTCACTTGATATGTAAAATAATCTGAGAATTTCTGGAATGATGCTGTGTCACACATGCAGACCCTGTCCACCATCCACTCTTCCATGTACTCTGGGTTCATCTCTGGGTTGTTGCACACGTTTTGCAAAATCTGGCAGCCCCGCAACGCATAAGGACAGAGATTCCGCACCTGGTTGACAGAGAGAACAAGCATCAAACAAAACAGTTGCCGATGGTGCAGCTTCACCACAAAAAACGGCAAACTTGGCCGGTTGCAGCTATGGCAGCTATGGCAGCTATGGCAGCTATGGCAGCTATGGCAGCTATGGCAGCTATGGCACTGATCGAAGTGCCCAGCCAGCAGGCGAAGTCCGCCCAAGAAACATGACCACACGATCACCATCCAGTGGTGGTTGACCTGGCCGCTACCCCATGGCATCTTGTGAAAGAGAAGAGGTACTGCAGGCATCTGTGCAACTCTCCACCTGGGTACAGATCACCAAGCTTGTCGCTGAAAACCATGGTCGGAATTTGCCCCCAAGCCTCAGATTTCAGACCGAGTCTGAATTGCACTCGGCAGAAGAACGACTCTCCAGGGCAAGTCCAAATTGCAAACCCGCGCCTCCCTCACCACCTCTGGAAATTCCGTTTTGGAAATGTTGCCTGAACCATCTTTGTCCTTCCTGTCGGGTGAAGCCCCACAACACAACATGAGACGAAACGAGTTTGCTAGCTGTTGCCACAATTTGCTTCTCCCTTCAATTTTCTGTTACCATAAAGACAGCTGCCACCGCCGGCACCACCACCACCACCACCATCGTCATCACCAACAATGTAAAGATGAAAACCAAACAGTGTAGAATCGGTCCTCTGCAGCATACCCTGGACGCTTCCGTCATCGAAAGCCAATCCAATATCTTTCAAAACACCTTGAAGCTCGTCCTGGATGCAATGCTGAATACGATGCAGGAAGACTCTGAAAAGTCGCACAAGCCCACCTTGCAGAGATAGCCAGACTTGTTTACCTGAACTCTGCAGACCAAGTAAAGCAGAAAGCAGCAAGACGCAACAAGGATTTCTGTACACAAACGAAATTCAACTTCAACTATCCAGTACTTGGCCGAGGAACATCGTAGAAATCGAAGAGCTCTCCCACGAATTGAGCTCTTCGCAGCCTCTTCTGCTCATACATTGCCTGGGAGTAGCATGAAACACTAAAGGCTTGGGGGATAGGTCCAAAACTTTCCATTATAATTATAATTTCACAACTTCAGTAAGATTTTAAGATTTATATAATCCATCTCCAAAGCAAAGTTCTCAACGCTGTTGACAAACACAAGGCAGGAAGTGAAGTTAAGAGTAACCTGAGTAATCCATGTCTCAAGAGGCTTCACAGTGCATGCGAGGTACATGACGTTGCTCCTCTGGGAGACCCTGGAAGCCAGGATACTTCAGTGTGAGCATGCAGAATTTGTCCTTGATTCCAGGTGCGAGATGAAATAAGTAGATCATGGTAGATCCAACTCTACCAAAAGGATGCACGGTCACGTGACAGCAAGTTTTCCAAACAGCTGACGAATGCATTTCTGCGGCAGCACTTTTGCCCCTCAACACAGCACCATGACCCCCGGAGCATTGCAGGCAGTAGCACTGCCCCAAAATGGAAAATTGTTAGCCACAACTTTGCAAAACCAGTAGCCAGCCTTGCTGCACCCGTTGAAGTGACGTCTGGTTCATTTGTGAACAATGAATACTGCAAATTGCAGTAATATTTGCAAATCGACCAAGGGCCAAACTGATGGATGTCTGTCTCATCAAAGCAGGACACCGTAAAAAAGCTGTTTAAGTCAAAGTCACTGACTTCTGGAAGCCAAGGGCTGGCACATCAACATACCTCAAAGTCGGTTGAAGAGTGCATGCGAATGAGAATATGGCAGAAAGCCACAAAGAGTCAAGGGAAGCAAGACCAACTGGAATACTCCCTGACCTTGTGCACAAGGTCACACACCGAATTTATCCAAGAGTCGGTGCAATAGTGAATTCCAGATCATGGCTCACTGCTCCAGAAAAAAAACGGTAACTGGGAATCCTCCTCTGAAGTCCCAACACCTTGCGTCTGCGGATGAAACAAGTAGCATGGTATGCATACGTTCTACCAGTTCTAGCTTGAAACTTATTGGTACCAGCAGTAGAAAGGTGTTGGACCTTTCACGAAAGCAGCGACTTGTAATACCTCTTGCCGAGCAGCACAGCGATGCCGGAGCGCAATCATGGCGGAACACTTCAGCTATCAGATCTAGCAGTCAAAGATAAGAACCAGGAGCATCCAACAAGAGCAAGCTACCCAGCTACCTTCATTGGGTTGTTCCTTTGAAGTGCATGAAGTCTTGCTGGGAAGTGATTGTAGGTTATTGCAAAGTAGGAAAAAAACTCAGAGACTCAAACAGCTGCAAAATGCACATCATGCCATCAAGAGTTCTTACAGCATTCCACAGCATATATATATATATATTTACATGAGTCTCCTACCTTCTTCTGATGTTTCAACTAGATTGATTTGTGTCTGCATGGCTTTTAGTCTGCGAATATTTCTTTGTTCTGACAGGTTCGAAATCGAACACAAAACGCAGAAAGTCGTTTGAGTCAGTTCCTGTCGGCCAAATGGGTCCGCTGGACAGAATGACTGGAATGTCGCCCAATGGACGTCCTTCTTCAGAGCCTGTTCAAAAGAGTGGGCGAGTGCAGTCCATAAGTGACTGTGAAAATGGTGCGGTTTATCTACGGTATATCTACTGTATATCTACTGATTAATTGTCAAGTCCGAAGTTGCACGTTGTTTATGCAGGTCGCCAGCATCTCACCGCACCTTCCATCTTTGGGCGGTACGGATGTGTACTGAAGGTGGCAACCGTCAGACTTCGTGCTTCACGGTCCACCTCAATCTTCGACAGTGTCTATAGTCTATACATCACAAACGAAGGTAAATGTTCCAGAGTGTGGTACAAAAGCAAAGAGGCCATGGTCCGCCTCGAAAAGTGACTCAAACGACCAACAATCATTCAGGCACCAGCTTCAGTGACATTTAGAAGCCTGCAACAATGCGGAGCAAGGTCGATTCAAAATCATTCAAAATGATTCGGCATCCATCCCCAGGCCGCCCAAGCCTCACATCGACCTTGCAAGGTACAAGAGTTCTTCCGGCAAGCTCAGCTTGGAAACTCTACGAAACTTTACGAGATGTGTCGGTTGCTTCTTTTGCAATTGTACAACTGTAGTGGGTGTCGGCACAGATACACTGGTGCAGAAAGGAACGTCAATGCAAGAAGGCAAGACAACGGTTCAGTGCCGCAGTCGCATTTTGTGGCAAGACACAACTGCGTGAGGTGCTGCCAACTCAGCACCCACCGGCTTCCCTGGAGGCCTCAACTTGCTTCAGTTCAGCAGAAATGGTTGATATATCTCAATGATTCTCAAATTGACTGGTCTGTGTTCAAAGTATGAGAAGACACAGCATCACTGTGTCCGTCATACTGTGGTCTTTGCATGGTTGAAAAGAGGAGACAAATGCTGCAGAGACTGGCCCAAACCTCAGTGATGGTCTTGGCTGACAGACTAAGACTTTCAGACCTTTACGAGTAATTTTAAGAGTTTTCTAGTGCTGATCCTTGTCTCCATGACTGGGACGGCAACCCAGCCATGCTCCAGCGGACCAGGAGGCAGCACAGCATCAGAGCCTGCCCTGACCTGGCACCACTCTGCACTTGGAACACTTGGAACACTTGGAACACTTGGAAGTCCTAGATTCTGCATGTTCCAAGTGCAAGCAGCATGTTGAACACCCTGATGAGACATGTCGGTTTCATGTCGTACTCACTAGTAATGTTTGACATGTTTCACATGTTTGACATGTTGCAACCGGTTCCAACTGGGCCCAACCGGTTCCAACCGGTGGCACCACTTGGACCTTCATTAAGGCGGTCAAGCCATCTTGAGCGCCCACCAAGGTCATGCCGCTACCAAGGCCCTGGTGAGAGTGAGATACACCCGTAACACGCTGGAGATCAACAAGACATGTATGGATAATTGTGAATACAATTATGGATATAATATGATATAATAAAATATTGTATTATATTACATTACATTATATTATAATACATTACATTATATTATATTATAATACATTACATTACATTACATTACATTACATTACATTATAATACATTACATTACATTACATTACATTATATTATAATACCTTACATTACATTCTATTATAATACATTACATTACATTACATTATATTATATTATAATACATTACATTACATTACATAACATTATCTTATAATACATTACATTACATTATATTATAGCACATTGCATTACATTACATTATATGTTACATTGCATTACATTATATTATAATACATTACATTACATTGCATTACATTATATTATATTATATTACATTATATTATAATACATTACATTACATTACATAACATTATATTATACTATAATACATTACATTACATTACATTGCATTGCATTATATTATAATACATTACATTACATTACATTATATTATAATACATTACATTACATTACATTATATTATAATACATTACGTTACATGATATTATAGTACATTACATTACATTATATTATATTATATTACATTATATAATAATACATTACATTACATTGCATTAAATCATATTATATTATATTATATTATAATACATTACATTTCATTATATTATAATACATTACATTACATGATATTATAGTACATTACATTAGATTATATTACATTGCATTACATTATATTATATTACATTAAATTGCATTGCATTGCATTACATTATATTATATTATGTTACATTATATTACATTACATTACATTATATTATATTACATTAAATTACATTACATTGCATTACATTATATTATATTATATTACATTATATGTTAATACATTACATTACATTACATTTCAATATATTATATACATTTTATTATATTATAATACATTACATTATATTACATTATATTATACCACATTACATTACATTACATTACATTGCATTATATTATATTATATTACAATTTTATAGTATAATACATTACATTACATTACATTACATTCCATTCCATTACATTACATTACATAATATTATAATACATTACATTACATTACATTATATTATAGTATATTTCATTTTTTATATCATTTTACTTTGTATTTCATTGTATCGGATTAAATTATATTATATTATATCAAATTTTATTTTATTATATTATATAGTATTATATTATAGTTCATTACATTATATTATATTATATTATATTACAATGTATTATATCATATTATATTATATTATATTACATTATATTGCATTACATTATATTATCCTATATTTTACTATATTATATTATATTATAATTATAATTATAATTATAATTATATTATATTATATTATATTTTATTATATTATATTATATTATATATAATTAATATAAAATTAATATATAATTAATATAAAATCAATATATAATTAAAATATAAGTAATATATAATTAATATGTAATTAATATTTAGTTAATATACAATCAAAATACAATTAATATAGAATTAATATATGATTAATATATAGTTAATATATAATGAATATTATATAATTAGTGTATAATTCATATATGATTTATATGTAATTAATATATAATTAATATATAACTAATATATAATTAATATATAATTAATATATAATTAATATATAATTAATATATAATTAATATATAATTAATATATAATTAGTATATAATTCATATATAATTAATATATAATTAATATATAGTTAATATATAATTAATGCACACATATATATATGTTTATATAATATGATATATATATGTCATAGTCCTTAGAAAATGGAAGCAGCATCCAAGTTCACCCGTTTTGATGCCTCTGTGGCCAGTGTTTCACTACCAGGCCGAATTTGTTGAGACGCCACAATGGGCCTGGCAGTGTTCTCAAATGCAACCCAACAGTTCCCGGTCGCAGGGTCAGCTTGTGACGTGAACTCCGAATGGACACCAAGTGCAGCTTCAATTCTGGCCGGAGAACAGGTGACAATTGAGCTGCACCCAGCCCTCTGCCTCGCATGAAGCGTTTCAGAGAATATCTCTGAACAACTTTTGGCTGTAATAGTGCACAAAGTGTTCTGACTGAACGGGTTCTGTTGGGCACCGATCCTGTGCAAGTTGCTGAAAAGCAGAAGGCCCGGAAACCTCCGCCTTCAGGGTTGGCAACTTCGCACGTGATCATCGGGGTCAGAATTGCTTTGCGATCTTCGTGACAAACGTTGCTGGTATTCTCAACAAATGAAGGTTTTGTCCAACAGTCGTCAAGCTCAACTGCGGCAAGTCTGTCCTGACCATTAACTGAGATGGGCGAGGACTTCTTGTCCTGTGGGCACGTCGCTTCTGCTGTCTCTCTGGCTTGCTATCCCTGGCTCACATCCCAACTTGTGCCCCACTGGTTGCTGGCCATTTTTGGCACATCGCAACTGGCAGAATGGTAGGCTTCGCACCTGCCCATATGGCATGAATTCGTCTTCACCTCAGGCTACAAAACAGACATGTCCGAAGATCCCACAGTGGCGCCTCGGGGAGGAATTTCAGTATCTTGTCCATCTGGGTCCATCCTGTCCAACCTGTCCAACTGGTCCAAGCACACTGAACTCTGAGTCCTGTGCTGGATTCACTGCCTATGTGTGATCGCCTTAGCAGAGCAGTCGAGCAGTCGAGCACTTGGGGCAGTCTCGGTGAGAAAGCAGTGAGACGTTTGCGCCTTCTGCTTCGGAGTATTCATGATGCTCATCGATTGGACATAAATTGGGCACCCTGCTACATCAACAAGACCGCTCAAATTAAATCACTGTCTCACATCGTACAGTCTTAAAGTGTCTTACAGGGTTGCTCCAAATATCCACTTAAGCTCCAGACGCTTGGCTCCGTGAAGTGGGACCTGTGTTCACACTGCATGGCAGCATTGCAGTTCTGCAAGGCACAGGTTTCAATTCACACCCTGCTGGGGCCCCTCACTTTGAGCACTCGGTGCCTGGGTAGGACAATTTGAGATCAGGTGGGAAACAAACATCTTACCGAATCTTACCAATGGAAAATGGTATCAAAGCAAGACCTCTGAAAAATTGCGGAAGAAAATGCTTCCAGCAAGAGTGTGGGACTGAGAGCACAGCCATGCATAGCTCTGGAACGAATTTCGCGCAAATGGCGTCATAGATGGGCCTTACAGTTGATCTTGCAAGACTGGTCCGCATGGGATTTTTAGAAATGAATAGAAATGAATAGAAATGAATAGAAATGTTTATAGTACATAGAAAGCATCAGTCATTTCAAGCTGAGAATCCTCGTGACAAAGTTTGGGATGTCCTTGTGGACGTCCTGCAAAATTGCTCTCAGACAGCTAAGGTGCTGTGCTGTTGCGATGCGCTGAGACCGAACGCTAGTAGACGACAAATCACATATAGCCGAATGCAGCAACCCGCTTTCAAGGAGGTTGTGGCCAACGTTTGCAGTTCCACAAAGTTGGCGTCCTCCAGCCCTTTGTTCATGTTGGCCCAATCATCGAAGCTCATTGTCTGGCAACGATGACAAGGCAGCCACATCACCAAGTACCAATCATCGATGGGTAGACACTGGAAAAAAAACTTTTGACTACTGGGAAAAAAAAATAAGGTTCACCCCTACTCTCCACACTGGAAAAAAAATTAAGACACTGGAAAAAAAACTTAAGAATCTGTACTTTGAAACCTTTTGCAGCTGAAATCTCTTATTTGTACAATATGTGCAGGGTTTGGGCACTTAAACATGCAATTGCATGATATTTTTCAGCGTTTTGGCCTTGAATAATTCAATGCTGTGCAGCTGAAATCTCTTATTTGTAGAATATTTGCAGGGTTTTGGAACTTAATTATGCAATTTGCATGGTATTTAAAGCGTTTTGGCCTTGAATCCCTTGTTTGCACCGTGCTCGCAGCATCTTGGAGCCAGCATCTTGGAGGGGATTATCTGCAGCATTTCGTGTTATTTGCAGCATATTGTCTAGAGTTAGTTTTTGGATCTATTTCAGGTTGGTTAGGGTGTATTTGGGAGATCAAAGGATGAGAAGGGTAAAGGACTAGGATGAGGAGGGTAAGGGACCAGGGGATCAAGAGGACCCAGGGACCAAGGGACCAGAGGACCAAGGAACCAGAGGACCAGGGGACCAGAGGACCGGGGGACCAGAGGACCAGGGGACCAAAGGATCAGATTGTTTTTCCAGCAAATTTATATGTGTTTCCAATGTCTTAGATTTTTTTCCAGGAAACTTAGATTTTTTTCCATTATCATCCCATCATCGAAGCTCATTGGCAAAGATGACAAGGCAACCACATCACCAAGTACCACCCTCCTGTCTCACTCCAGTCTCAAGGATCTCAAACAAGCCCAGGCGGACCCCTGTTGCACCAGTACCATCACCATGAATGACTTGGTGCAACATCACAGTCGAAAACATCAGCTGCGACCTCAATGGGCGACAGATCCAAAATATGGATCGATTTGGCAGTTCTGAAATCTCCGAGTGTCAATCAAAGACACAGTCGTATCATGAAGCAAAAAATGAAGCAATGCTACGCAATGCTAAGCAATGTAGACATGTCTGGGGCAAGGGCATGACTTGGGCACTGGAGATGTACTGTAGAAGACCATGGCCAACCTGATACTCCGATGATCTCCGATGTCTACAAAGATGAGACTCACGTGTCGTCACGTGTCGTCACGTGTCGTCACGTGTCGTCACATGTCTCTAGTCGGCGTGAGTCAGCTATGCAGGACCAGCAGCACCAGGCTCCCTGCCAACTCTTTGGTTTCGCTGGTTTTATCGTCTTCCACAGTACCCTGGCAGATCCACGACTGCAAGACTGTTCAGTGAGATTCAGTGAGGCGGGTGGTTACTAGGCCCTGGTCTGGGAAACATCAACAAGCTACGTTATGAAAAAGATGGTAAAACAGGCAGCTTGTCGTAGCAAATGTGTGTTTCTCTTCCATCTTTGCACTGGTCTTTCTGCTACCAGTTGACGGTTTAGCGGACCCTGCCTCTGTCGGAAGCATGGACGGAGACAATGCTCGATGTTTTCGCCACCTGAAGAGTCAAATTTCCCAAGTCGAACAGTGGAATTGCTCTCCATCACTGAAGGCAATACAATGGCTGTAAGGCGAGCACCATACCAAGGCAGCAGCATGTAGCAATCTCTCCATCCGATCCATGTCCTGCAAAGCACACGACTGCAACGTTTTTGTTGTAGAGGGATGGAGAATAGTTACTACTTCACGGAGGCATTGGCAGCATTCCCTCACCTTTCAAGACTTGGACGCAAACCCCTCAAACCCAAACCACCAAACCACCAAAGCAAAGCAAAGCAAAGCAAAGCAAAGCAACCAGCTAGCAGATCACTCTCCTCAGGAAGCTGAATCCTCGAAAACGACAGCTCGAGGCCTTGGGCAAGACTTGCGTTGGAGAGGTATGTCAGCTATGTCAGATATGTCAGCATGCACGCCATAGCGTGTCTATATTCGAAAAAATTGAAAACAACCCAAACAAGGACCGGGGCAAGGGCAAGAAATCACCCCCGTGCACAGGAGCGGAAGGCTGTCCAACACGCCAAACCGCACCAACAAGCAAAGGGAGAAGTCCTGAAGCACTTGGGCCAGCCCACACTCCGATCTCCAAAGCATCTATGTCAGAAAACAGCAAGTGCTGCAGAAACTTCATCCTGGCCCAAGAAGTTGCCGATCTTACTTCTGTCGGCGCCCTGTCAAGGCCAGCCGTGGAATGTACTTCTTTCAAACATGTTCCAACTTTTCCATTAACAAATGGGAAATTGTTGGGAAACTTGTCATGACTTGTCTTCTTTCGGTTTCTTAGCTGTGTGGGTTATCCAAGTTAGGTCGGACAACGACGGCCATGGAGTTGCTCCTCACCAGAGCCCAAACCTCTGTGTGCAGCAAGGCCCTTGCAGCAGCACCATAGCTTTCCTTGTGGAAATTCTACGAAATCATCCGATTCAAGATTGACGTCAACTGTTAAGTCATCATGAAACTGTCAGACAGAAAGTTTGAATCAACATTTTCGGACATGTTCTTTTCTCGCGGAAGTGCACGTAAGCCAAAGACCGACAGGCCGCAGGCAACCGCAAAAGCCAAGCCAGCGCTGGGCTTCAGATTGAAAAGCCTTGGCTTCAGACAGCTGTTGCTTGTTGTTGAGCCGATCTGGTGCAAAATGTTCTCAAAAAGTCCATAAAAATCATCTCTTCTTGCACCTTGTAGCTTTGCGGACTGCCAGATTCAGATCCAGAAGTCGTAAGGCCATGGCAAGACAAGCACTTTCATGAGGGATTTCCTGTGGTTCAACAGTTCAAAATGAACACATTCCAGATCCAACAAAGAATGATCAATAAATAATAAATAGTGCTAATTTCCAGAGGTTCTGATGCTTCATTTATTTGTTTCAATTGAAGTAGCAACAAAAAGTGGAATTATGGCGCCAACAGGACAGCATGGAGCCTGAAGGTGGTTACCTCCTTGATGGACGCCTTTGGAGTGACGAAGAAAAGCTCTCGCTCACACTGGTGAGGCACTCCGACTCTGTCCTGGAAAGTGGTACAAAGCCACGAGGTCACCAGGGGTCACCATCAGCTACCGGTGCCCTCTTCAACTTGCAGATCGCAAGAATCACAAGGCCTCCTTCATGTTAAAGGCGGCAAAGTAGTCTTCCGGTCCATCCTCCACTTCCTCAGATCACTGCTTTAGACTGTAGACCATCGATGCATTGTATATCTATGTAACATGAATATGCACAGTGAAGACTGCACGTGCGGTTGGGGCAGAGAACGAATCTGAACCCTAGGATCAAGTTTCGAAACAAATGCTTGTCATGAACCATTGCCCATACAGAATCGGTAGGAACTGCAAGTCTGGGTGTTTAGAAAAACGCAGCATTCGCTCGTGGCTTTTGCAGATGAGGCAGGTGCCTGTTCCGCATCGCCCAAGGCCACCATTCCCCTGGAGCTTCCGCTTGTCAGCAAGTCCATCCATAAACTTTGAAGATTAAGAAGATCCAAGGAGATCCAAGAAGACAGGTCACTCTTGATGAGACCAGTTCTTTGAGAATCGTTCTGTAAAAAAAGGCTCAAGCGACTCATGGGCCTCTCCCAGTCACCATCTTCGGCTGCTGCTTGCAGCACCTCCGCTTTCAAGGTCACTAGCTGTGCAAGCAAAACAAAGAAAGACTGGCATTCAATGGGCTTCATTTCGCTGCAGTGTCTGCAGGCTTACACTTATAGTCATTCCTCACATCCTTTGGGTGAACACATCTGCCACAAATAGACTTTGGATTCTCCCAGAGTGTCCTTTCCCGGCAGCATCTCCCGGGCTTTCCACACACCTCGCGTGTAACGCGATCAAGGGAGATTTGCGCTGGCGTCTGGCCTGGGCTTGCACATGAGCAAAGAAGGCAAATGTTTTGGAAGCATATGGAGGTTTCCCAAAATAGGGGTACCGTCAAATCATCGATGTTAATCGAATTTTCCATATAAACCATCCGTTTAGGGTAACCCGATTCATAATATATGAGTGGAAATGATGACTTGGTCATTTTAGGTGCCCTACCTGAAGCATTCCGTCGATGAGGACTGGCTCGCGCCTCCGCAACGCTGCAATGCTGGGCTAAATATCCAGCAAGGATCTTACGGATGCAATAAACGTCAATAAACCGTAATAAACTAACAAATGGGAAGTTGGTCAGGGTATTTCAGGGTAGTAATTTGTCTCATCTTTTGCTTGATTTGTAGTGGTACTGATACATTCCAACTCACATTGGTTTACTCCTCTACCCTTTGCCTGCAAGAGGAAGCGGACTGCTTCGGAACGGCCCATGTGCCCAGCAATATGCAGCGGAGTCCAACCTGCCAAGACTTTGACGCCACGCAGCCACGCATGCCACGCACATCACGCATGGCACGCGCATGGCACGCGCATGGCGCGCTGCAGTGAGATGCCTGCGATGTCCACAGCCTCGAGGAGCTGAGAGTATTTCAAGACCTCCACGACGAGAGCAGTTGACCGCAGACCGCAGACCGCAGGTGACAACGGCGAAACCGAAATCGACTCACACGACTCACACGACCACACCTCGCAAACCACTGGCAGAGAACCAGATCGACAGGCAACATGAAGAGCTGTGGTGCCTGGGAGTGGCACCCACTGCGCTAAACACAATGGATGCTACTTGATGCTACTTGTCCATTTCCCGAAAGCAGTAAGTTCAGGCAAGGTTCCGTTGGCATCGTGAACATCGGGCGCTGCCCCTTGGTGTATAAGCCACCTGAAAATCTTACACAACAAACAGATTTAAGTTGCATTGCATCAAACATTGAAGCGTTTCTTCCGGCATTCCTACAACCTCCAAGGCACTTCCAAACACTACTCTTGAGCATTCCCCCCACAATGCCATGTCTCTTCATGCACTAACGAACTCCTTTCTTTAAGCCTTATCCTGCTTGACCTCGTTACTACAAAGCCAAAACATCTTGGCAGGCATCAGAACACTTGACCAGCCAACAGGCAGTTTCACTTGCCTCACGGCCACAAGGCATGCAGTCGAGGAGAATTGAAGCAAGCTTCGGTCAGCACCTCAAAGAATTTTGACAAAGTTTGCCCTGAATGCCACTGCTGAGTTGTATTATCAAAAAAAGTAACTTAAAAGTATAATTTTAAAAAAGGCAAAGTGCAGGCCAAACAAGGAGTCCCAGGAGTCCAAATAATCTAACGTGTTCATATTTCCTGTACATCACAACTATGAAAGGCTGGGGATATGTATCCACTGGTTCTTTACGATGGCTCATCAGGTGAATCGGAAGCGACATCAGGAGTGCCACTTGTAAGGCCATGGCGACTGAGACCACGCAGAGTCTCCTGTCCGCAACTCAGCGATGACGATAACGACGACGACGATGACGACGACGATGGCGACGACGATGGCGATGGCGATGGCGACGGCCATGGCGATGATGATGATGATGATGACGATGATGACGATGATGACGACGTCTGTCTATACAATGTCGATACTATATACGTTTGAAAATCATTTAGAAGTATAGATATACTCTACTACTACCTGCGGCCCACCTGAGTACTGATTAGCCTTTTGAATCCTAAAGAGCTCTTTTGTCCATGCCTGAACGGTAATTAGGTCCAATGAAGGAATATTTGTCGTTCCGCAATTACGCAATTTTTGCGTAAATGTTCCATAATCTCGAAAGCAATTGAACGTAATCTGAACGTAATTTGAATGGAATCTGAACGGTCTGTACGGGTTTGAACGGTTTTGTATGTAAATATTACGGGTATTAATGTACTTGAACGGTTTCCCCAGGTTGGTTATGATTGTCCATTTTGTTACTTCATCAAGGAATTAGCCCTTATAATATCATACATCACCCCAAAATCCCTTCGAACGGTTTTTAACGTTGATCGACTAATCCGCCTTAACGCAGGTACGTACTCCTACAAAAGTAGATAATTGGCAGTGTGTCAAAACCTTGTACCCCTGGTGAACATCAAAATAGCTGGTAAATGGATGTTCATCCCACTAAAAATGGTATTATATAATAGGTATTGATCCATACCCAGTTCAGTTGAGCTGTGTATCTTCTTTTAATGCTTAAAGGATCTTAAAGGGCTTAGCCCTTTAAACTCATTAAGGCTACGCGAAAGTCTACGCAGCCCAGAGCTCCTCAAAGACTTGCCCTGCCGGCCCACTGCCAGGCCCAAAGGACAACACGTTGAAGCCTCGGAAGAACCACTGCGAGGGCTGATGGATGGCTGATGGTTGGCTGATGCTTGTACTCCGTTGTACTCTGTTGTACCCCTCTGGTGCTTCCCATGACAAGCTCTTGATAGCAAATTTATGCAAATTTGACAGCATCAATCGCAGCCAGCATTGCAACCAAGGAATACATACATCAGCGTCTTTGAGATGCCGATTACAACTCCATACATCAAAATGTGCTTGCTGACCCATACCGCGCGCATGCGATCAGTTTGCATCAAGTTTTGTGCAAACTTCTTCCACGACACTCAGTCACAGTCCCAATCCTTTCTTTGCAATAAAGGGTCACTTGGTCACTTGATGTCACTTGCAATGTAGGAATCAAAGGAATCAAAGGAATCAAATATACAATCTGGGACACGGGCCGTGTACTGTCAATGGTCTTGTGTAGGTGGTGGATTTCTCATCCAGTGTATCATCATCACAGCAGGATTCCGTGTAGCCTGGCAAGACCCAGTTCACCGCTTCCAGCAGTAGAATTCCAGAGATTTTCATGATTTTAGCATGTCGAGACAGTATGAGACAGTACTAAGATGGGATTGTTACTCAAAGTTTGCCAGAGTGGCAGGGTTGACATGCTGCAGTCAAGCCCTGGCTGGCTCCCATGGCAGCTCATCAAAAGAGTGTGTTTTCAGACTTCGTCCTGCTGTCTGTCCTGGCGGGCGCAGGTGCCCACAAGCAAAATGCAAATGTCTGGCCAGATAGGGGCACTAAAACTTTTGTACGCTTTTCATCTCTAGGTTGCTATAATTGTGCGTGTGTGGGTTGAATATATGAAATAGATGTGTATCCATTCACTTGTCCGCTTGTGTTTGCAGGAGGGGCTGGGTTGATGAGGTGTTCGTGTCTGTCTCTGTGCCCCTGCATCCATGTCAGCTCCAAAAGAGGTAGCTATGCCACATCAACTCAAATTGGATCAGTTCTTGCAAATCACATTTTAATTGCAAAGCATATTTTGCTGAATTTTGACCTGATTCAGTTGCGGCTTGTACCAGTGGGCACGTTACACTCTGCTCTCAGTATCTTAGCACCACAGTTGGGCACGCAAAAAAGGAGACGTTAACTGGCATCTCTCTGCAAGTGACAATCTTTTTAAACGAATGCCAATTGTCAGAAGTCGTGCCAACACGGGCCCTGTGCTGGAAACATAAGCAGTAAGAGTCCCTCCACTTTACCCTTACTTTTTACGCATTCGAAGCAAAAGCTTGATTCACTTTGAGAAAACATGAACTTCAAACAGTATCAAGTATTCAAATTGGATCCTGATCGCTCTCAGTACCAAGCAGCTTTAGTTTCTTTGGTTGGTATACTTTATTGCACAGGACGCAGGGCCTGTGTGTCGACTTCACTGCTGGTCAGACTAATCTTTGTAGTCATGGCAAAAGTCTGGACAAACAGGTCCTAGGACTCTTTTGCCTGGACCTCAACGGCAATCTCAGGGGGAAAAAACAATCTGAGCTCCAATCCGAAAGACTGAGAATTCCAAATAGTCGTCATCGCAGGTTTTGCTTAGTTGTGTTTGCTGCGAAATCTCGCAATCCTGCCTGAGCAATCTAAAGCTCTTTCTCCCAGGGTCCCCTTTGACCAGAAAGCATCCGCTTGATGTTTCGCCTGCATCTGAATTAAGAAAGACCTAGAATGGTGACACACAGTACTCTCACATGACCTTACCTAAGAATTTTGAGTCTCAGTCGCTTAAAAATTTGTATGCCCCAACAAGTGTCACGCAGAATGTGTAGTATGCATGGCAAGAATAAGATCGTCAAAAGCAGGCGCCTGGTTCGGAGAAGAAAAGCAATTGCCATCATCAGCATCGGCAAATACATTGCAATCAAGATTGAAGAGACCTTGGAGGAAAATGACAGCATGAATCGCTAAGACCGAATACCAAATAGAAATAGATTCTGGTTGCATCCTTTTGCTACGTAAAGGGGAGACTAGAAAGTAGAAGTCACAACACCTGTCTCGATGACGCAACTGCAATACTTTGGCAGAAACTGTTAAATGCATTGAAGGCTGAGGCACCAGCAGTTTTGAGGTAAATAGCGATGGAAATGGTTGGAAAAAACACTAGAACCGTGGCAGCCACAGCAGTCGAAGCCTCGGTGGGGTTCAATTCTGGTTCACCTCTTGCCTCAACTGCCAATGCAGTCAAGCTGTTGTCTATCTATTCAATGGTTCGGAAAGTGACCTGTCTATGCTTTGCAAATTTGGCAGTGGCTACTCAAGCCTTGAAAAAGTCTGATGCGTTTGGATTGTTTGTAATTTGATGTTGAGATCACTCCTGGGGTGCGACAGACTTCAGCTTACACAAGTCCTGGTCAATTGTAAACCAGGCCCCTACCATGAAACTCCAGTCGAGGCAGGCGTAAAGGCCCGCCTGGCAAAGAGCTACCAAAAGCAACATGCTGGACACAGTCAGAAAAGTTCAGCTGAAAGAAAGATGCCTTGTGAGACAAAAGAAAAAAATCTAAAACGTCCTTGTGGCTGGTTGGGGTTGTGGCTACCCATAAATTCAAGGCACTCATGCAAGTGTCCAAGCATGAATCAATGTAAATGTCTGGATGTTGTACTATTGGATCTACAAACTTGTGTGAGTGTTTTTGTGTGTGTGTGTGTTTGCATGTGTTCTTTTGTTGTCTGGCGGGGTATCTATCTATATATTTGCATGCACATCCGCATGCCCATATATACCTCGGGTATATGCCTCTGTGCCCTGTTTGGATGCAAATGAAAAAGTTGACCTGTTGATCTATGTGTCTTCCGGGTGCAGATTTTCCTGGGGCCCGAAAGTGGTTTGCCTTTCTTGGTTCAATTAGTATCTCCGCTGAAAATAATGTTGACATTTGACCCAAGTAAATATTCTGACAAGACTTATCATGACAGTGCAAATTAAATGACTGATATGTGACTGTAGTTCCAAGTCTCCGACCCTGCACATGATTTGTGCCACAGCTATTGCCAGGCCTTGTATAGCTGGTAGAAGCTTCGAGCAAGTAGCGTTGGCCTTACAGCTGGTAAACAAAAATGGGTGAAGTCCAGGATTGCCTAACAGAGTTCCTGTGCCCATCCTGCGAACAATATGTATATATGATGTTATAATATCTATATATGGCTCCATGCTCGTTTTGGGGAAGCTCGAAAATGAAGATTTTGGAAAGTAACCTCCTTTAAAGATGAGGCAATGCATTTATGCAATGCATTTATATTCTTTACAAAGGTGCTGTGACATTTCAAAGTGCTGGTTTTCTGGTCAAAGAGCCTGGTATTTCATGGAGAAAGTGCTGGATGGTGCAAATGGCAAAAATTCTTTGAAGGGAAAGTGTTGGATGGCCCTAGGGGCAAGGCTTCCCTAGAGGAGAGGCTCCTCCATTTCAAAGTGTTGGTTTTCTGGGCAAAGTGTTTGGATGTGTTTGGCATCCCATGGAGAAATGCTGGATGGATCTAGGGGGACACCTTCTTTGGAGAATAGGCTCCCCATTCCAAAGCATTGGGAAAATGTCAAAGAGTTTGGTATTTCATGGAGAAAGCGCTGGATTACCCAGAAGGCATTTTTTTTGGGGTAAACGGAAACTGCTGGCTGGTGCTAGGGGCAAGACTTCTTTAGAGGAGAGGTTCTCCATTTCAAAGTGGTGGTTTTCTGGCCAAAGAGTCTGGTATTCCTGGATGGCTCTAGGGGCAAAGCTGCTTCTCTAGAGGAGAGGCTCCTCGATTTCAAAGTGTTGTGTGATCTTGATCCCTGGAGCTTTGGATCCCGACACAAACAGGAGCATGGCAGAACCTTGCAAAGTGTCTCCACCTGTATCTCCACCTCCAAAGACCTAAACGAGGACGCCAACAGACCTACGTCTTGAATCAAATGAGCCGTTTGAAAGACTGTTTGAACAACGTCAAGTAGACGAGGGCTGAAGCATGCTAAACACCGCTAAACATTGCTGAACCAGTTGGCAGCCAGGCCACCGAAGCAAAGATGTTGGCACAATTCAAGGAAGAGGCATACTCACAGGCCTGCGCAGCCTGGCTGATCTGAATTTGACAACGTGGCAACGTAACAGTGTGCAAGCTTGTCACGCCTCCTGAAATGCGATCGGGACTCTGAAAGGGATCAATGATGAAGCAGCAACGATTGCCAATATGATGCCCTAAGCAGGTCATGGCACGACATGGACATGGACCCCACGAAAATGAATGATAATCCATACTCAGCACCCAGCATAGACCATAATCGTCCGAAACAGATTCCTGAACTGCTTGTACCTCACTGAAGTGCTGGTCTCAAGACTTTTGATAGTTCTGATATGTTCTGATCATGATCAAAGTGCAAATCATCTCATATATTGCATCAATCACAATGTCTCCACTAAACTCTGGACTCTTTGGCAGCCACCAAGTTCGAGCCCTGACGCTTGGAAACTCACACTTCAAGCATTGTACAAACAGTACGGTCTACCTTCAACTTTCTGGTAGCATAGTTGTAGTAGCATGTAGTAGCCAAAAATTCAGGTTTGAACAATGATGAACAATGTAGCTTCAAAAAATCTGAGAGTTCGATTCATAAATTCTTTCAGCCTGCAAGCGAAGCACGTAAGTAACACCGAAGATCCACTGCAGACCATACTGAGGAAATGCCTCAGTTTCTGCTGCAGATTCCAAGTGTGCTTTGCCAACTTTGCTAGTCAATCCTGATGTGCTTGTGTTCACATGCTGCAAACACGTTCCCTGCACTTGGAGGCTGCAAATTTTGAAGTTGAACCCAATAAAATTGGTGACAGGCCCAGTAGAAATCCAAATGCTCTGCAAGTCTTGGGGACTGTGCAGCTTGCCAAGCGCTAACCTGGTACATAGCTCCAACCCCAAGCCTCAGAAATGACTGATCTAGCAGTGGGAGTTTTCTGTGCATTTTAATCAGTTTAATCGCACCACGGACAAGACAACAGTTTGAAAATTCTTGACCTGGACTGGCTCACAGCCAGAAAGACCAAGGATACCAAGGTTTGAGGCAATCACAATCCACCAGCTACATAGACTCCAGTTGTGACAGAGACTTGAGCCGCTACATCAAGCAGCATCGCATAGAAGCCTTCTTGTGACGCCTCACGGACTAGGGGAGTCCCATCCAGCTAGTGCTTCCACAAAATGTTTACAATCTCTCTGCAAGGCGTGGATCGGCTTAGAAAGCTAGCAGAGTAGAGTGCAAAGTTCACGTTTTCAGCTTCCGCTGAAAGCATCATGAGAGAAGTGTTGAATGTTTGCCTTCTTCCAAGAGATCTGCACGACCTCAGGTGCTCCTAACTCCGTTGCCTGACCACAAGATGTTGTGCGTTGCACTAGCAGTCGATCAGTCAGGCAAAACGTTTCCTGTGCTAGGTATGGGAGCCTGTGCACAGTTGATGGTCAGGTTGTAGCGCAGACGCAGGTCCCTTTTGAAGAGGAAGATACCCAGTCTCAGCAAAGAGATTCAATCGCAAGTCAAAGCCCAAATACAAGTCCTGCCACATCTTGCGGCCAAATTGGAAAGAGAAATCAAAGTCGTCACACTTCGTCCAAGCTTCCAACGTACTGATGAGTGACATATAGGAACCCACAAAGACGATCCAACCTCAGTTGCGGCAGTCTGCGCTGCAAAAGGCTAAGAGTGACTACCGTAGTTACCTGACTGAGTCGCCTGCCAAGGGCATCGAGGGATGGATGTGGAACGAAGAGAATGTAAAGCAATGTTATCTGTGTGACAGTTTGTACCTCAAATCACAACCAGTAGCTTAGCAGCAATGGAAACAGCCTGATAAGGGGGGAAACGAAAGCCAGCATCCCACCTACCCCTATTTTCCCCAAAAGATTTTTCACCCACAGACTTTTCATCCATACACTTCTCACCCACAGACTTTTCCCGCATATACTTTTCACCCACAGGCTTTTCACCCACATATTTTTCACCCAGAGAATCTTCACCCAGAGATTCTTCTTGCAAAGACTTTTCACCCAGAGACTTTTCACCCACAGGTTTTTCACCCACAGACTTTTCACCCACAGACTTTTCGCCCACAGGCTTTTCACCCATATACTTTTCACCCAAGGCTGTTCAACCATATACTTTTCACCCAAAGGCTTTCACCCATACTTTTCACCAACAGACTTATCACCCGCAGACTTTCCATCCACAGACTTTTTAGCCACAGGCTTTCACATACATATTCTTCGAGTTTTCACCCATATACTTATCAACCAGGGACTTTCACCAGCCACAGATTTTTCACTTATCTTATGTATTTTTTCACCCAGAGACTCTTCACCCAGCGACTCTTTTTCCACAGGTTTTTCACCACCATACTTTGCACCCACAGACTTTTCACCCATATACTTTTCACCCACAGACTTTTCACCCATATACTTTTCACCCATATACTTCTCACCCATATACTTTTCACCCAAGGCTGTTCAACCATATACTTTTTACCCACAGACTTTCACCCATACACTTTTCGCACAGAGACTTTTCACCCACAGACTCTTCACCCACAGACTTTGCACCCATACCCGTTTCACCAATATACTTTTGACCCACGGACTTTTCACCCGCGCACTTTTCACCCACACACTTTTCGCCCAGAGACTTTTCACCCACAGACTTTTCACCCGCAAATTTGTCGCCCTCAGACTTAAGGATCCTTACGCTCAAATTTTTCAAATGTTCATCACCCCTTTCCAAAGTTGCCTAATTTCACATCTTATACCGACAGAAGTTTCTTCTCCATAGCGACTGTGCCTCCATTTACGGACCCTTACCTCTGCCCTCCTCATTTCATATTTTCGTCACCCCTTTCCAAAGCTTCCTAATTTCACCAAAAAAATGCAAAAAAGCATTGACGGAGCCGACACAGGAGTCTCATCTTCTGCTATGTTATCACCCCTTTCCAAAGCTTGCTGATTTCACATCCCGTGCTGACAGAAGTTCCCTCAAATCCCCTACAGGGAACGGTCCAAGAGAATAATGGTCCCACTTCGGACCACACTGCAAATTTTCCTCACCCCTTCCAAAGCTTCCTAATTTCAAATCCTATACTGACAGAAGTTCCTTCTAAGCCTTGCGACCATAATGTTCCCATATCGGGTCCCAACAGATAGGGGTAGAAGAGTGAGAGAGAGTGAGAGAGAGAGAGAGTGAGAGTGAGTGAGTGAGTGAGTGAGTGAGAGTGAGAGAGACATAAAGAAAAGTTGCCATTGAGTTCCCACCTTTCCAAGCAATGCCTTTGCCTCTGGCCTCACTCTATTCCATTCTATTCCAGTTTCTATATCGGACGAACCGGGAGACCCCACTGCATATTTTCGTCACTCCTTCCAAAGCTTCATTATTTCACGTCCTATACTGACAGAAGTTCCTTCTAATCCTTGCGACCATAGTGGTCCCACACATCGGAGCCCAACAGATAGGGGTAGAACTAGAAGAGAGATTAATATTTTCGTCACCCCTTCCAAAGCTTCCTTATTTCAAATCCTATACTGGCAGAAGTTCCTTCTAATGCTTGAGACCATAATGGTCCCACATCGGAGCGCAACAGATAGGGGTAGTTGTAAAAGAGAGATGCATATTTTCGTCACCCCTTCCAAAGCTTCCTAATTTCACACCCTATGCTGACAGAACTTCCTTCTAGTCCTTGCGACCAGAATGGACCCACATCGGAGCCCAACAGATACGGCTGGAAGAGTAAGAGAGAGAGACATAAAGAAAAGTAGCCATTGAGTTCCCACCTTTCCAAGCAATGCCGCTGCCTTTGCCCTCATTCTATTCCAGCCCCTCTATCGCCTCCCAAAATGCACCTCCAGCTCCCAAAATGCACCCCCCGAGACGGACCAGGGGGGAATCAAACTCCACCGTCGCCCAATTGCCACCTGGTACATGCCCTCGGGAATGCTCCAATTGTCCTCGCTCCACTGCACCTAATCCTGTGATTTTGGGCCCGTTTTGCCCGCTCTGCCGCCAGACCCCCTTAACTCACTTTGTTCGCCTAGCCTAGCGGCTGGCTTTCGTATCTGTTCAACCATATACTTTTCACCCGCAGTCTTTTCACCCAGAGACTCATCACCAATATACCGTTTCCCCTTAGACTTTCCCCCATATACTTTTCATCCACAGACTTTTCACCCACAGACTCTTCACCCACCGTCTTTCACCCATATACTTCTCGCCCATATACTTTTCACCCAAGACTGTTCAACCACATACTTTTCACCCACAGACTTTCACCCATACACTTTTCGCAAACAGACTTTTGAACCATAGACTTTTCACCCACAGACTTTGCACCCTCACACTTTCACATATATATTCTCGAGCTTTCACCCATATACTTTCACCCAGGGGCTTTCACCAATACATTTTTCGCCCACATGTTTTTCACCCGCGCTCTTTTCACCCACAGACTTCGCACCCTCAGGCTTTTCACCCATACCCGTTTCACCTGTATACTTTTGACCCACGGGCTTTTCACCCACACATTTTTCACCCACACACTTTTCACCCACAGACTTTTCACCCAAAGGCTCTTCACCAATGTACTTTTTACCCTCAGATTTTCCCCCATATGCTGTTCACCAACAGACTCTTCACCCATGTACTTTTCACCCAGCGACTTTCCACCCACGGTCTTTCACCCATAGCACCCACAGACTTCTCAACCATATACCTTTCACCCCCAGATTTTCCACCCAGAGACTCTTCAACCACATATTTTTTACCCTCAGACTTTTCCCCCAGATCCTTTTCTTCGTCCATATACTTTTTCACCCATACACTTTTCGCCCAGAAACTTTTCACCCATACATTTTTCACCCAGACACTTTTCACCCACAGACTTTTCACCCGCAGACTTTCACCCGCAGACTTTCACCCATAATTACATTTTTCGCCCACAGATTTTTCACCCGCAGACTTTGCAACCTCAGGCTTTTCACCCATACCTGTTTCACTCATATACTTTTGACCCACGGACTTCTCACCACCCACACACTGTTCACCCACGGACTGTTCAACCATAAACTTCTCACCCACACTTTTAACCCACAGACTTATCACCCGCAGACCTTTCACACACAGACTTTTTAGCCACAGACTTTTCACTTATATACTTTTCACCCAGAGACTCTTCACCCAGCGACTCTTTTTCCACAGACTTTCACCAACATACTTTTCACCCATATACTTTTCACCCACAGACTTTCACCCATACACTTTTCGCAAACAGACTTTTCACCCATAGACTTTTCACCCACAGACTTTGCACCCTCACACTTGCACATATATATTCTCGAGCTTTCACCCATATACTTTCACCCACGGGCTTTCACCAATACATTTTCGCCCACATTTTTTTCACCCGCGCTCTTTTTCACCCACAGACTTCGCACCCTCAGGCTTTTCACCCATACCCGTTTCACCTGTATACTTTTGACCCACGGGCTTTTCACCCACACACTTTTCACCCACCGTCTTTCACCCATATACTTTTCACCCAAGGCTGTTCAACCATATACTTTTCACCCACAGACTTTCACCCATACACTTTTCGCACAGAGACTTTTCACCCACAGACTTTGCACCCTCGGACTTTACACCCATACCCGTTTCACCAATATACTTTTGACCCACGGAATTTTCATCCGCGCACTTTTCACCCACACACTTTTCGCCCAGAGACTTTTCACCCACAGACTTTTCACGCACAGCCTTGTCACATTTTTGACCGACAGACTTTTCACCCATATACGTTGCACCCATATTTTTCACCCAGAGACTCACCCACAGACTTTTCACCCGCAAACTTTTAGCCCTCAGACTTAAGGATCCTTACGCTCATATTTTCATATTTTCATCGCCCCTTCCCAAAGTTGCCTAATTTATCTTAATTTCACATCTTATACCGACAGAAGTTTCTTCTCCATAGCAACTGTACCTCCATTCACGGACCCTTACCTCTGCCCTCCTCACCTCATATTTTCGTCACCCCTTCCCAAAGCTTCCTAATTTCACCCAAAAAAAACTGCAAAAAGCATTGACGGAGCCGACACAGCAGTCTCATCTTCTGCTATGTTAACACCCCTTTCCAAAGCTTGCTGATTTCACATCCCGTGCCGACAGAACCCAACAAATACAAGTCGGCCACTACAGCCTCGTCCACATCCTCCAGCGACCTTTCCAAGCAATGCTTTCCCCCTGACTCCCTTTTGTTCCAGTCTTTCCCAAAGCATCGTATACTGACAGAAGTTGCTTCTAATCCTTACGACCATGATGGTCCGACATCCGAACCCCAGTCGACGGGTACATTCTCATCCGTATCCTATACTGACAGAAGTTGCTTCAAATCCTTGCGACCACACTGATCCCACATCGGAGCCCAACTATACTGACAGAAATTCCTTCTAATCCTTGCGACCACAATGGTCCCACATCGGAGCCCAATAAATACAAGTAGATGGCTACATTCTCGTCGACATCCTATACTGACAGAATTTCCTCAGAAGTTCCTCAAGCAATGCCTTTTCCTCTGACTCTCTTCGATCCCTCCCGTCTCTCCCAAGGCATCCTATACTGACAAAAGTTCCTTCTGATCTTTGCGACAATAATGGTCCCACATCGGAGCCCAACAAATACAAGTCGACGAGAACAATCTCATCCACATCCTTCCGCAACCTTTCCAAGCAATGCCTTTCCCTCTGACTCCCTTCTATTCCAGTCTTTCCCAACGCATCGTAACTGACAGAAACTGCTTCTAATCCCTGCGACCATAATGGTCCCACATCGGAGCCCAACTACTGGCAGAAGTTGCTTCTAATTCTTGTGACCATCAAGCAATGCCTTTTCCTCTGACTCCCTTCGATTCCAGTCTCTCTATCGCCTCCCCAAATGCACCGCTGAGGACGGACCATCAAACAATGCCTTTTCCTCATAATGGTCCCACATCGGAGCCCAATAAATACAAGTCGACAAGAACAAGCCCAACTACTGACAGAAGCTGCTTAAGCACTCCCTTCGATTCCAATGTGTCTAACGCCTCCCCAAATGCACCTCCGACGACACCATTTTCCGCGATTTTCCCAACGTTTCACTCCATGTTTCCATTGTTTTACTGATTTTTTCCATGGTTTTACTCGATTCTTCCATGGTTTTATTCAATTTTCCCGCGGTTTTACTTGATTTTTCCAGGTTTTGCTCAATTTTTCTAGGGTTTTAATCGACTGCTCCATGGTTTTTTCTCATTTTCCCATAGTTTTACTCCATTTTTCCCTGGCTTACCAAATTTTCAGATGGTTTTACTCGATTTTTCCATTGTTTTTCCATGGTTTTACTCGACTTCTCCATAATTTTACCCTTCCATTCCAGTCTCCCCAAATGCACCTCGGAGGACGGACCAGGGGCGAATCGATACCCCACCGTCACCCAATTGCCACCTGGTACATAACCCTCAAAAAAGTTCCAACTGGCACGCCTCCACTGCACCTAATTCCGTGATTTTGTGTTGTCCTGGCGCGCCCTACCCCCAGACCCCCTATAACTCACTTTTTTCGCAAAAGGAACTTCGCCTAGCCTAGCGGCTGGCTTTCGTGATTGCACATGAGACTCAAGAAAGAATGAATAGGAACGTGTGTCGCAGAGCGTTCCCAAAGTTGGGCCATGCAACAAGGATCAGGCAATGGACCTTTAAAGAACTCTCATATTAGTGCCATATGGCCTGTGATGCTCCTGGAAATTTGCCAGTTTGCCTGAGGCCACAGCTAGGCCCATGAAAATAAAGAGGCCATACTCTTGCAAACCAAGCAGGAAGCCCTTCAGTGCCATCGAAACCTGAAGTTGACCACTTTGAAGACTGTGCCAATAGAGAAACAATAAAATAACATAACTGCATGGACAAAACAATCTTGGCCTATGCAGGCTCATTTGGACAAAATTATCAGGCTACACACAACTTCAATATACTTCAATCATAGCAACGAAGAGTGCTGGCCAGCACCACACGGAAAACAGAAGATATTGCTTGGCCTCAGAGCCGTTCTTTCTGACAGACACTTTCCTGAATTAGCACAGCATTTGATCAAAGCCAAGATCCTGGTTGTGAATTTGTGCCGTTACCGCATGTTATACTATATAAGTATACTACTATCTACATCACGTGATAAATAGGTTCTAAGAAAATTATCATGTGTGGTATGCCGCCACATTTTCAACATCCATTGCCACATCACCATGAATTCCTCAACGAAGATCAAAACTAGGTGCTCTGCCATTTCCGCTGCCTCGTCACCCTTCCAGCCAAATACAAAGGCGCAAAGAAACAGATCCAGAATGAAACTGTTCATCCGCACACCCAAACTGGGGTATCGTTGTTCGATGATACAATATCATAGAATTTACTCATACAATTTACTGACACATCCTGCAGGTCTCAAAGTAATCAAACGCCAACTTGAAATCTGGCTGTCTAAAAGAGCTCTGAAGGTCAAGGCCTTCGGAACCAGCGGACAGCCCAAGGCAGAGTCGTGCATGGCATACGGCGCAAGCAGCCACCTTTTCAGAAACAAATTTGCCGCTGACTCTACATCTTTCTACGTCCTTCTACTGTACATCTTTCTACATCTTTCTACATCTTTCCACCCTTTCATTTTTTCTCGAGGACTGTGGACCGAAGACCAAAACCCTTACACGCACAGAACTCTTTCACACAGGCCTTAGAGCAGCTGGCCAGCTGCAAAGCGCAGTTGCACAGCCCGCCTCACTTTGGTCCCGCGTCTCTTGGAAAATAAAACATGCTTAAAACAGCCCACTCAACCAAACTGTGGGCAGCTCTGTATCCTCTTTCATAATCATCCAGAATCTGGTCATGGAATAAAGCCAAAGTTGAGTAAGACCAGTCATATGCCAAGCCATACTTCCAGGCAATGGAAGTTCAGGAAGTTCAAGAAAATGACAAAGGTTCGAACACCATTGCTCAAAAAATGTAGCGTAATGTAGGGTCATCAACTCAAAGAACTGCTTTCAGGCTTGGCTTCGAACCGCAACAATGCCAAAAAAAGCTCCTGCCAGTCCAATGATGAAAATATTCCATGATATTCCAGGGTTACACGGTGAGTCATACGAGTCATCGTTGCTGCACTGCAGCATCTCCTCCAAAGACGCCCAGCATTAGGACAGATCGGACAGCCTTGGGTAACGGATCAGAGACAACTGCAACGGCACACTAAGTGAACTTAAATGAACCATAGATTGCCATAGATCTTTCGAGGTTTGCAAAGTCAATTAGTTCTGCAGAGCTTCAGGGCTCAGTTCAAGACGCCAACGTTTCCTGATCCAATAGCAGCCATAACCCTGACCGTGACCACATCCTCAAGGGGACCAAGCACGAAAGTAAAAGTACCGCTCAAAAGTGAACATCTGGAACTCTGGTTGCCCACACATTGCTCGTTACATCTCTTTACATTATGCAAAAATTATGCAAAATATATTCTCCTATATTCTCCTCTTTCAATCTCTGTACAGCTGGTTCTTGGCAGCACATCTTCCAGAAGAAGAACAGGTTTCAGTGGTGTTTCTTCTCCTCTAGAAATTGGAAGATCTCACCTCAGTATCCAGTGCGGTCTAAAAACCAATCACCAAATCCAGCAAACCGCTTCTGCGCCGCCCATGCGTCTCTGCATTGAGGACACGGCGCAAAGGCACCAAGAACGCATCCCCAGCCAGCATGGAATTCCTCTCAGAGAGCTACGAGCAGTTCAGTTTGGCTTGTGGGGCTTGTGACACCGTGGAGAGTGCAGTTCATGTCCTCATAGGTACAGACAACAGTCTCTGCGTGATATTTGCGGAAAAAGTTATCAGGTAGCACCTCTGAAGGACAAATCATCTGCCCAATGAGAGATGCCGACTTACTCATTTTACGCAAAAGACACTCAGGCAAGTGCTCAAACGAAATGGCAAGACAGAACCCGACCTCAAATCGATGTGCTCTCTGTCGCTGCGGTTTTGCTGTTGGCTTCCGGTTTCAGGTCTCTCTGAGCAGCCCAGCGCAAGTCAGGATGCCCACAGTTTTCCTTGCTCGGATGTCAGCATTTACTACTGAGTTACTACCGGCTTCTCAAACGTTCTCAGCTAAAGCATGTTTGTGGTTGTTTGTAGCTGTGCCTGCAACGAGAAGGCTCTTCCTCGTCATCATCGCCTCATCAGGCAACAAGTGAATTCCACCAGCGGGAAACATGTCTTCAATGAGTCACGCGCTGTCGTCGCAGACAGCGAGAGTACCTGCCTGGCAAACTCAACATTCGGCCAGACTGCAATGCATATAAGGATACAGATATATATATATATAAGGAAGAAAAATGTAAAGTGGAAAGGTCATGCATGAAAGGTCATGAAAGGTCTCAAAGAGTTTCATTCTTGACGGGGCAGAGCCTCGTAAGACTCGTCAGCTTCGTTCTCTTCTTCATTTGTGCCATCCGAGTCATCGTCTTCCACTGCCCTCTTTCCCTCTTGCCGACTATTCCGCACTCGCTGGATGATTCGCCAGCAGAGCATCGGAAGCAGCAGACAGACCTGAGAGAGATCGTTGTTCAAATATGTCATCCAAAAGTCGGGAAGTATAATATGTATATATATATGTGAATATTATATATATATATGGATGTCTCTCTCTCCAAGATTCTCAAAGTAAGACCTGCACTAAGCAGCTGTAGAGATTGACGTTCGTCCCATGTTTGGCCCAGTGCTCCATATCATCTGTCAACCTGCCAAGATTCAAAACCATCAAAATCCAGCTTCAGCAGCTTCAGTAGCAACTGGCAATCGCAACTGGGACAAGGATATGCCGGCAGCTCTGGCAGCAAGAGAAGTTCAAGTCCTCGCAACTCCTCGGAGAGATTTCAGTCCCAAGGGTGATCTTGTTCCCTCACTTGTTCCCTCAATTGTTCCCTCAATTGTTCCGTGCGACAGTTCAAGCTTCTTGACACACTTATCTTGTTGGAGTAGAACTAAATGCTTAGCTGCGACCCTGCCACAATTGGGACTCGAAATCTCTGAGTCCGTTGCGCTTCAGGGTAGTAGCAGAGGCCATTGAGGGCTGATCGTGGTTTGACCTGTACGTCTTGCCAATTTTTGTGTTTGGCAAAGTGCAACCTGTGATCCTTTGCTTCGCAGTTCACAAGGTTCGAACAGCGACGATCACATGCAAATTGTCCACAACAGACTTTGGTGAAAGGACGAAATGAATGCAAAGAGTGGTTGATATGCTCAAGACAGTACTGTGAACAAACTGGAGCCTCTATCTTCGAGCCATTGTCTGCACGACGATAGTAGACAAAAGCCGGCCTCCGTTCCATGCAAACCATTGGTGCGATTGTTGTCGATTTGTCCCCGATTTGCCTGTCGCTATTATCGTAGAATTCGCAGCCATCGGCTGAGACAGCAGGGCTCATGCTCTGCTGTCAGCTGCACGTGTAGTTTCGAAATCACCTTTTTGCAATGTTGGCGGCTGTTGCTGTCAGATTTTTACCTTCAAGGCACTTCTGCAAATAAACAGAAAGTACCAACATGTCGATGTCGGACTTACTCCAATTGGAGATAAGTTGTGTGTCAAGGTCGTTGATTCGGTACATGTGGTGCACATGTCTATCTATGAGCTGCGACAATTAAAACACTTCACCTTCACACATACACACCAAAAAAAAAGTTCATGGCAAACATAGCTGAGATGCTGCCACTCCGAAATCTGAGAGCTGCAGATAGACAGCAATGCGCTCTTTTCCAAATCAATGCTCATTCCCATCTCTCTAACTTCCTGACTCCTTGCGAAACAGCAAGGACACTAAGCAAAACTGTAAATACAGCCTCAAACTGACTTCATCGAGAATTCCTAGGCAGCTTCATTTCGAGTAGCCACCATCAGCCTCAAATGCAGTGACACGTGAATACACAGAGCTACTGCAAAGTGACACATATGCTGGGCATCTTTGAGCCAGGGACTGAAACAATTTCTTCCATGACCTGTGCAAGGAATAGCTGGCAGTCTGCAGTCTGGTTTCATCAAGTTTCATCCCTCACTGGACGGGGCATGAACCCACCTTTCTGATTCTTCTCGCCACCTGAGAATATGAGTCAAAAACTTGCGTGTTGTACAAGTCTGACTTTCAAGACGCCCGAAAAAAAAAAAAAAACTCTCGTTGTATATTACGTTTTTTTCATGTTCAACAAGTCGGAAGACAACTGGAGACAAGCTTCGAGAGAGGGAGTCAACCAGCCAATGCGGACACAGCAGTCCAAACAAAAAGCGGACATGCTTCACAAATCTGCAAAATTAGATATCTAATTTAATATAATCAACATAATATGTATATATATATATTATATAGGATGCTATATTATATTCTTTGGGACAAAATCTGATGATTTTCTGTAGACTTGACTTGAAGGCACATCACTCCGCACCTCTTCCACTTCATGATCTTCAAGTGCAAGGCCTGAGCAGGGCCAGGATAGCTTGCCAGTTATACTGTGATCTCCGGCAATTGAACATGGCTGAGAAGTCCTAAACAGAGATTTTAATCTGAAAATCATCTACAAATGAGTGATTTTCCCTTGCCATGTTTGATTAGCGGAGGATATCAGGTTACTATAATAGATTTTATACTGTATACTCTTATCATCACACACTAATGCAACTTGCGTACCACTGGGTATGTAGAAACCACGTCTGGCAATCCGCTCAGCGACAGGGAAGCTTTGACCTTCGCAGTCGGGGCTTTGTCAAGCCGAACAATAAACGTGAAGGGATGAAAGCATGGATCCAGTGCGTTCATTTTGCAACCCCCAACCCAAATCCACAAAATTCCACAAAGGTCGGACATCAATCTAGATCGAGACATTTTAGGTGAGCACGAACATTTCAAATCCAAGGACGTTGTCTCAAATGACCAGTGAAAAGCCCTCCCTACGGGCTTCTCGCCTCCTTTCCACTCCACTCCTCATGTCTCACCACTCGTTCCACTCGTGACCGAAGGGAGGGAAGTGACGTAAGGAGCGACCCGACCGGAGGGAGACGAGTGGGGGATGGGGATGTGAGGCGTATACCGAACGAAAGGAGTCTTCAAGGTCGTGCAGTTTCCCAAACAGTCCCAAACGTTTCAGAGTGTGCTGCGCCTTTGAAGAAACCCATCGGTTCAAACACCGGCTGCTCATGCATGGGCCAAAAGAAAGGCCTAAACAGGGCTAAAACATGGCGCCGAATCTGGCAGCACAACATCGGAGTCGAAAGCAGCCCGACATCGGAGCCTGGTTCCCACTTTCGCTGCAGCCAACCGCTTCATGACTGCGTCTGCATCGCACGACACGGATGGGGCCACCTCTACCTCAAGAATGGCACATCAAACCTCCACTTGCTGTGCCGATTTTCCGGATTTTTCCGGTTACCGAGTCCACAACACCATAGACCCAGTAGATATTGCTCTCAGACTTCTGGTTCTTGTCCTCGCAGGGTGCTGCTATTCAAATTTCCAACTATAGGAAATAAGACCGCTCAGCTTCTGAAAAGATGTGGTCTCATGTGAGAAAGCTGAGGCCACGTCAGGAGGCAAAATGAGACCAGGACAGCCCTCCAGCAACTTTGTGTAGAGACGTCCAATCTGAGCAGTGTCTGAGGCAGACTGAAATTTGCGCAGATTTAAGCTGACAGCGGAGGGCCACCTCCCGCTTCCGAGAAACAGCTTCTTCCAAATGAGATAGCTGGCCAAGACCCAGAGCAGCCTGAAAGAAGGTTTCACCAAATCATAGTTTTTGCTTTTGCTTGACATAATTCTAAGCTTTCTGGCCAAGCCTGCAGATTGGTCATGCGATAGTTCCATCCCAGCTCCTGAAAGAGCCACAGCTCAGGTGCTGGTGCTTCCATGTGCTTGCAATATCTTCCAATCCCGCAGCTCTTGGCCTCATGCACAAAACGCCGCTTCTTCGGATCAAAGCACAAGTTACGAAGTTGTTGGCACCTGCAAGTTGCAAAAGATGCACAAATGGTCCACAAATGTTCATGACTTGGGACCCGTCTATCCAGTTTGAACTTCTATCTTGCCACAAAACACGGGACCTTTCAGCCAGATCAGGGGCATCGCACAGAACCATCCCACCTTCACCTGGCATGGTGTCAGTAAATATTTTCCTGCAAGTAAGAACTATGAAAACAGAAACATTTGACAAGCAAAAACCGACATGCAATACAGTAGTCAGCCACTGAGCGAATCATCCAGAAAAGTTTGAACAAGAGGACGCTCACAAATGCTTGAAAGGGGGGCGGAAGCACAAAGCAAACTTTCAATAACGCGAAGAATGGGTCCAAGCAGCAAGAGAAGCAGCTTGGATTGAACACACCTGGTGTACAATTGAATATCGTTTCAGCCACGAAACCTGTGGTGATGTGCTTGTTGGGGTAGAAGCTCATGGTGCTGATGTCTCCAAAGGAACCACAAGGTCTTCCAAGACATGTCCTTGGCGACCAAAGACAGAGCTAGATCCCTTGAAAACATCATAAACTTATCATAAACTTGTCATGTAAACAGCCTGAAAACGGCTCTGCCCTGGAGAGTCCAGTCAAGCTACTGCCCTATCATTTCAGCTGCATCTTCGATCACTTTGATGCCACGTTCCTGGTGCACTTGGTGTCGTAATTGTCGTCATGACTGTCATGATGTTTTCGAACAAATATCAAATATCAATTACAATTCATTATATATATATATTATCACTCTATCTGCACAGCGTTCTATCCAAACTGTCCTAACTTATATAGAAGCTCTGCCGAAACATGCCGAAACATGCCAAAACCATGGATGATGTGAACTCCCAACGCTAAACGCATAAGCTGCCTGTCTTTTGTTCAGGCATGCCAAAAATACTGTGGAATCTTAATTGGAATGTGACACTTAGAACGAAAAAAATCCTAGATACAGCTTTGCGAATTTCCCTGGCTAGTCAAAGTCTTTACCTGGCAAAGCTGCAGCCTTGACCAAAGCAAGGACTGGCCTCAGAGCCGATCAAATTCAGAACCATTGATTGCACCCGTCTGGAGCATTCCCTGCAGAACTTGACATGGTTTTGAAGCTAAGCAATCAGCTCCATGTCCACTGGGAAATGGTAGGTATGGACACAAATGATTGCCTGCGGCTGCGGCTGAAATCTGATTGAGTTGTGATCAAAAATACGTGGCCTGGCCTTTGTCCTGGGAGTCAGCCTCTCACGGATCTGAGCAACATCCATGTTGAAGGTCGAATCCTCACATAAAGCCAACATGTTTCATGTTGAATCATGTTGAAGCCAAAATGAAGACATTGGCAGAAAGAAATGCACAGAAACTGGGCCCACCCACAGAGTCAACCAACACTGGCACGGAACCGCCCCTTACAACCTGCCAGGCATCAAGGCATTTTATATTAGCACCCTGCTGATTCTACGTGCCAAACCATACACTCCACAGGTTTTCACTTTCACTCAATCTTTGCCTGAGTGATCACTGAGATGATGCAGAAGCTTGGGAGAATCACCTGCTTCCAAAGCCAAAAAGAATGCCGGAGTCAGAAATGAGATTATTTCCTGGCACAAAAGCCAAAAGGGAAATACTCTTGCAAGCAAAGCCTAGTCCAACCAAACTAGTATCGGTTGCTCGGGCGCTAGACACAGCAATAAAGTCCATGGATCCAACTTGGGATCTTTTTATGATTTTTGCTGTCTTTGGAACCTCTGATTCATCTGTGTGGTACTCGTAAACACTATCAATGGTATTGGTGGTCTTTTGTATATCACAGAATGTTTTCAGCGGACACCTTCTACCCAAATATATATATATCAGGAGGGACAATCTGCACAACCCCAAGTAGCATAGTTGACCTAGCCTCAACTTCTGTGGTAAACAGCTGAAGCACCCATCCCAACTCGAGTTCGTTGTTTTTGATGTAGCTAAAACACTGCGGTGGTCAGAGTTGTCCAGCTTCACTGGGCAAACCTTTTCGGATTTTTCTGCACAAACCTGGAAATTCAGGTGCTACAGCGGTGCTACACGTTGAATCACATCTCTACGATCTTGGTCTGAGAGAAAATTCTGCCTTGGGAGCAGCATCCTTGTCCCAAATGTTGTGTTCAAAGGCGTCACAACGCTCATTCACGACCAGCCTCTTCTCATTTTTATCGTAAGACATCATGTACTGTCGAGATTCTTCCAGATTCTCTCGCAGAATCCGCCTCTTCTGCTGTGAAGCTCCTGCTTTTGCTGGCACCGCAGTACTCGCAGTGCTCCCAGTGCTCGCAGCTTGAAGGGATTCATCCAACTTATCCAACTTGCCCGAAACGTCAGACTTGTCTTCAGCCTTCTCTGCTGACACATGGTTGGCCTCAAGCGCAAGCATATTTGGCATATTTGCAACAATCACCAAGTTCTTGGACCTTCACAGTTCAAAAAACATTAAGCCAATTTACAGAGAACTCTCGCACGACCAACATTCAGATATATGTATGTATGTATATATATATATGCATTTTATATTGTAGAATAAATTGTAAACAGAGGCAAGTAGCTTGCTCAGAATCGGCAAGCACCGGTTCTTTCTCCTCAAGTCCCCTTTCATTGTCTGGACTGTCGCTTTCCATCTTCGATTTCGGGAAAACCAGCTTGAGCCAACACCACATTTCAGAAAATGATAACAATCGGAACGATTAAACAGCATTGAGCTGAATGGAACCACATTATCCAGGTGATGTGAGGTTCGGTCATGCAATCAGAATGTATCGTGTTTGAGTACCAATAGATGAAGTCATTTGGATCCCAGCACACAACATGGCCTCATCTCCTTTGCCCAATTGCAATGCCTGGTAAAACCCAAGATTTGCTCACATCAAATTTAATGAAAAAAACGCAAAATAAAAATGTGGAAAAAAATGTGGAATCAAAAAAAATCTACGGGCCTTCACGGCGATGTCCAAGGCAGCAGTGCCGTTGGCGCAAGCAATCGCATGCCTGCGACAGTGACGCTGCAATGCCTTTCGGAGATTATCTGACGCCAAGTTGTGATGACACTGTGATGTTTGTGATGCGCTGGCCACTGAACAGCAAAATTGCACATAAGCAAACCATCCAAACCTCCGGCCACATTTTGAAGCAAGTTTCGCTTCAAATTTTTTCACAGCTGGACCTGACCAAGCAAATCGGGCAGGCATATGATTTGATTCCCATGCAACATGATGAATACCATATAGCAAACACAAATGATTCATTAAATGCCAAATGTCGAATCAGCCGACCTTCAGATGAAATCCATCCAGTTTCTATGCAATTTGCCACCAATTCCTTCCAACCAAGGCATTTGGGAACTGCAGTGCACATGAACCATTTTCCGACAAAGAATGTACATTGCAAAATATAAATTCACAACAACATGAATGAAGCCTTTTCATCGCCCCAAAATTTTGGTGTGTTGACAGGGAAGGCTGCCGACGAGAGATCCATGGCCGACATTTTAATGTTTGCATTGCCAAGTGTAGCGTTCACGAAATCAGGACAAAATTTGAATACATTCACATGACTTGCAGTGCCTGTATCTGAGAAAACTACTATCCGCTCCGGATTTCCCATGAAACCGTGTAGTCATAGTTCATAATTTTTGGGTTACAAGTTTGTTTCCGTAGCGGTGTGAACAAATACGAATCAACCGGGTTTTTCAAAAAACTCATCCAATAACATGCCATGAAACATTGGTCTGGCGATATTTATTGCTCAAGCCAATTGTTTGATCCAGTTGTCCGGTTTGAATGATTGTTTTGATTCATAAACATAAAACGAACGACATTGACTGTACATACATGCAACCAACGTGTAGCAATTGCCGCCACCATGTCATTTGTCATGTTTCGTTTTTTGCAAAAATATGGGTCACATGTGAACCACAAAAGCTTGCAAAGTTCATTGACTTGACGAAATGATATGCAAAAAAAAATGCCAATAGGACAAAAATGTATTCCGAAATCGATCCAAAAAACACAAAAACAATTGCAGCGGCATACAAAACAATTATTGTTGGCATTCGCACCCAAACATGTTCAATCATCCAAGGTGGCTAACGCACATTAGGGTCCATCATTTTGCATTGCGCAATTTCAACTCGTGGGATAAATACAGTTGCCAAGGTGATGTCAACATTTCAATGGCGGGTCGCATATACGTTTTTACCATCATATTACCATCACGCATTATATAATTTCGACAATAATGGAGGGTGTTCAAATCATGATAATGTTTCCAATGAAAGCTATTGGTACGTTCAGAATCGTTCGAGCCATTGTTTCAACATCCTGATGTGGATATAAAGGCGGGGATCAAGAGTAGGGAGACAACGCTCTCACAACCGCACCTTGTAGTAGCCAATGGCAACATGTACAACATTCTTCGCAACAATGAAAAAGGCTGAGGGGGGGCGGGTTTTTGTTGCTGTGAAATCTCGCAACCTTCTGTGAACCAAAATACACATGTGAACAAGATTTCACACAATCCATCTGAATGAATGCCATGAGTTAACGAGTTGCAAAAACACTCTAGAGAACTTTAGCATAATGATACATCTTTTCAAGAGGTATTCCTTATGGTTTGCGTTTGCTTGCATCTCATGCACAATCACTGTACGATCACACTCACTCTGTTTTCACATGAGGGGATTTCGTCTGGCTGCATCCTCCCCCACATCACATCAGGGAGACGTCAAGACAGAGTGAGTTCAGCACATCGCTGATTTCGATCGATATCTCAAGTTTCGGGTCAAGATCTGACTTGTCACCACGTGACGGGCTGTCAGCAACATTTGCTGAAGAAGGCACATGCTCATACCAGCAGACTGAGTTGGCGTTGCACTCCCAACCAAGAATCTGTTGGAAAATTTGACTGTCGATTCCTACAGCATCGTTGTCAATGAAGATGACAATGCGGTCATTGGCATAATGCCTTCTGTTGGCAAAAAGGCAGTGCAACCAACCAATAGTGCCAACTCGTCAAGCTCAAAGATGATGGTCTCTTTGTTCGATAGGTTGAGCAAGGCAATTTGTTCAGCATCGACCACGCACGAAAAGAATGATTGAAGCTTCCCATGCTGGTCGAACAAAACTCGGCCTAACCCACCGACACCACCTTCAAGACATGCATCTGCGCACAGGTGGAACACCCGGCCGTGTTCAGCAAGCAAGATGATCCGATTCCTCAAGAGGTCAAGCTGGTGCACAGCTCCGCAACAATATGAGAATCTCCGATCACATGTTCCGACCGCCTCAATTGCTGCATGTGTCCCTCCCAGCCTTTCAAAGATCTGAGCTTGTGCAAAACCCAACCTGCCCCTCAAAACTCCCATCTCTGCTTGCAAGAGTCCAAAACCATCCAAAACCCAAAGACAAATCCCAAGAACCAACAACCTCGGCTCCGAAAGCTTCAAATCCCTTTTGCGCGACCACACAAGCGACATAAAGATCTGTCTGATGCAGCTGTGCTCAGATTTCTTCCTTAACTGTTTGACCCGCACTCCTTGTGAAAGTGAAAATCGACACCGGAAACTCGATTTCAGGCCCAAATAACCCCAGAGGTAAAAATCAAACTCCTTGTTTCAAAAGTTTCTCTGGATAAAAGTCACGAAATAAAGTGACTCAAAATGTTTCGTTTCAGGTTTAGAAATCCCTAGATCTACAAACCCTTCAAACTATATAATCAGTTCATCTAGGCCATCAATCCTCAATGTAGGACAGTTTTCTCCCATCAACTGCCACTCCACAACAGCTTTCTGGAGTTTGTGGCAAGTAATTCCCGATTGGCTTGTCTTGGAAGCGACAGGATGCGAGCAGAGAGAGTTGTCGCTGCTCTGCTGTGGTTCTACAAGCATGATTCCGGCAGCTAAGCTCTGAAACAAATTTCTTGCCACAGTCTGCTCCATGACGGTGTATCCATGAATTGACACATGCTGCCTTCCAGACTTCAAGACGATGCAACGGAACTGTATACGACTTCCAAATGGACGTCCTTATGCCCTTGCTCCAATGAGTAGACAACACTGCTATTGATGGATTGACCGTATAGCTGCTCTACGCCTGCAGAACACCCTGCGTGCAGTTTAGCCTTTTACTATGGCCCGCCCGACTCCAATGAAAGATGCAGCAGTCAATCGCCTAGCCAAGTCAATTACTCAATTGACCCTGTGTCAGGTCACTACCAGTGAGGTTGACGCTGCCACCAAACTGCTCGACAAGGCATGCGAGAAGCTTCAAGGTATCCAAAATATCCCATCTCAGAGGGTCACTGACCTTGAAGCTGCCATACGCCAACTTCGCCAAATTAGCTGTATCTTAGACAGTTGCACAATCTCCGCCAGTTACGAAGTGAGCCAGGCGCAGAAAGCCATACTGCTTCTGCCACATACAGCCAAAGGGGCAAGCACGTCATCGGAAGAGCTTAATGCACAGATATCACCACGCACTGATGATGAGCATAATCTTCCATACCATGAAGACTATTGGCAAGAGTACTAGTGTACTGGAATTTACCGCAAACCGCAATGATGGAGCCATGAGAGATGTTCTTGTAGGATGTCTCTCACCGCTCCCTCATTCTGGTAGCTCTCCAAGTCAACCGCCTTTGGCACTGTGCCACTCTCGGTGCGTCGCGGCGTTGTCGTTGTTTGCTTCGAAGTGACTATGGGTAAGTTGTTATGACTTATCGGCTTGCACCATGTGATCTCGGGAATCCTGGCTGGGGGGATCTCTGGTTTCCGCATGGTGCTTTTGTTGCTTCACTCGCCTTCTGGTATGACCTGGTGATTTTGTTGTTCTTCCCTTTGTTTCTGCTGCTATACCATGTCGAGACGATACAATGCTATCATCTCTTACTTTTTTCCGTCCAACGCCTTCATGGCTTTTGCCAGGTCGTTCAATATGTTTTATTGCATGTTGCAAATTGGAATTAATTGATTGATTATTGCATGCGTAGGCCGTCTGCGGTTGAGTGGCCTCAAAAGTGAACTGGTGAAGGACCGCTACGTAGTCCTGTGTACTGTCACAATGTCATCACGAAAGCACAAAACAAAACAAAACCAAAACTGCGGAAAGATTAAACCCAAGTTGGTTCAAAAATCCTTTCTACGTAAATCCCAGGACCTACACCTAGATGCAAATCCTACAACCTACGCCAAAGCGAAGTTTACGCAAACGCGGTTCCCACACACAAGCTCTCAGGTTCGGAACAGCTCAACCCTTTTGGACGCTCTCTCAGAGGTGCTGTAGCAACAAAACAAAACACACGAACCAAAGCAAACAAGCAAGAAAGACAAACTGGACTAAACCACGTGACTGTCTCATACTACTTCTTTGCAGTTTCCTTGGCTTTGAGCCAAAAGCAACCATACAGCTTGACTGCAACAATTATTTAAACGTTCAAGATCCGAAGATCTTTCTCTCAAAAAAAACTTTCTTTCTCTACTCAAAGACAGGCAACAACGACACTGCGGTCGCTTTTGCCCCCCTCAGACGACCAGCACCCATCTTGTCATCTCACCATGATGACGGGTGCGTGGTCTGTTGTCATCATTGAGGGACATCGGCAACTACCGTCTCGATGTTAACCTGTCAACGAACAAAACACAACCACATGTCGACTATTCACAGTTACACATTCAGCTACTAACAAGCAGCCACTCTAAACTCAGTTTAGTCCAAAGTTCAAATCGGTTCGTCACAGTGCTGAAACTTTCTATGAAAGTTTCCCATAAAAGTAAAGTTCACAGAACGCAACTTTCGTTGAAAAATTCTGTGAGTTTCTGGAAACTCCATTCCAGGTTCTTTGAATTCATAAACACTTTCTATGCATACGATTCCACTTGCATTCAAATGTTCACATTCCTGAATTACTTCAACCGCACTCATGCATTCACATATTCAATTCAGATGCACTCGTGCATTCAAACGTCATCAATTCAAATTGATTCCCAACGCATTCAAACGTTCACAGCTCCATCCTGAACTCTTCAATGTCATCAAGACATGTCCGAAAAGTGCCTCAGGCTTCGCATCTATGTACACATATTCATGGCTACCATAAAACAAATCCCAAAAGATGACAGTCTCACCGCATCCACGAATGTTGTATTAATGCAATATCCAAACACACTCCCGAACACTAAGATGACACTACGTCAATTGGTCAGACCAATTGAGGTAGTCTCACCCGAGCATTCTTCAGATGACCGGAGTCACAAATTCCAAATTGCTTCACAGATGAATGCCTGCATTGAATTCTCCAAAGCAGAATATGCACGCTCCCACCAAAGCAGAATCCGCACACTGCACCACTTCAGCTCGTTCATCCAAATATGCACAAAGCCAGAAGCTTTCCTCGCTCACCAGCCAAAAATACAGGATATTTCCACACCCCCTTTCGAGGGAAGCTTCGTCAACCCATGGCGTCGTTCGAATGGATACCTATACAGAGCTAAAACT